CGGGGGATATGAGAGTGGGATAAGAGAAGGGTCTGCGGATTGCTCCGAGAGATATTTTTGCGAGGTAACTGGGGGTCCTGGCATAATGAGTGTGTCTGGTCTCTGAGCGTGAGTTGAGTTGAGTTGAGAGTGCATTTGTTATCAGTGATTGTTTAGAAGGGGGAGGGAGTGAGAGTGTCTGGGGAAGTCGAAGTCTGGATTGGGGCGGTGGAGAATCGACGGGAGAAAGTGGAGCCGTTGGCCAGGCTGTGGCTCGGTGCCTTACTGCCTGATCCCCCCAGCAGCAGCAGCAGCAGCAGTAGGTGACTGGGAAGGTCGTGCAGGAGGAGCTGCAGAGGTAGTCAGGTACAAACTTTGGTGGTGTGTGCAAGGGTCCGAGGTTTGTCACTCACATCTGCCTGCTAGGCTTCACCCTCACCCTAAGCCCACCAATTCGGACCTCCAATGCATTTCCTCCTCCTTAATCACACAGGGCATGTCTGGCTGAGTCAGCGGATGAGTAATGACGGGGAAGTGACAGGTGGATCACATGATTCCCGTCACCGGTGCTGACCGCCTGGGGTTCGCCGCCCGGAAGTATCTTTCCAAACGCCGCAAAAAAAACTTTCCTGAATCCATCGACCCAGGCCCTGGCCGAGCAAAATCACTCCCTGCTCCTACAGCCCCCCGTCCTCTTTCTTGCCACTTGTGATTTTATCTGTCGATCTCCGTCTAAGCATCCTGAGAACCACCGGAATACATCCCATCAACAACCTCCATGGCAACGATGCAGACCGTTGTTCACAAGACGGGCGGTGCATCTGGAGAACCGCTTCCGCCCACACTTCCGACCGATACCGTGCCCGACCGCGTGAACACCTCCAGTCTGGGATCATGGTCTCATCTGATTGCCGGCGCGTGAGTGATCTATCGGCAGTTGACCTTGTCGACATCTGAAAGAGAAAGCTAATCGAAGTGCAGGACCGGCGGGATGGTGACAGCCGTCGTGACAAGTCCTCTTGACGTTCTCCGCACGCGGTAAGCGCTTTCCTCCTCCAGGCTGGCACACATCGCCTCCCAGCCATTTCCCCCGCGAAGCTAATAAGACATGCACCATGAACAGCCTCCAAACCGACTACTACCAAACCCAATCCAACACCCGCCTCACACCACACCCCAACCAAATACGACAATCCTTCGTCCGCTCCTCGGTCAACCACTTCCGGGAGACCTTCGGCATCCTGTTCTCGATCCACCGCGTCGAGGGCTGGCGCGGGATGTTCAAGGGCCTGGGCCCCAGCCTGACGGGCGTGGTGCCCGCCAGCGCGGTCAAGTTCTACACATACGGCAACTGCAAGCGGCTGCTGCCGGAGGTGCTGGGGTGCGACAAGGACACGACGCTGGTGCACGCGCTGTCGGCGGCGTGCGCGGGCATCGCCACGGGCAGCGCCACCAACCCCATCTGGGTGGTCAAGACGCGCCTGCAGCTGGACAAGGCGGGCGCCCGCCGCTACAAGAACAGTCTCGACTGCACGCAGCAGATCCTGCGGCACGAGGGCCCCAAGGGTCTGTACCGCGGTCTGACGGCGAGCTATCTGGGGAGCATCGAGACGACGCTGCATCTGGTCATGTACGAGCGCATCAAGGGGCTGATCGCCACCAAGGTCGATCTGGAGGGGGCCGGCCCCGAGTCGAGCCAGTTCGTGCAGGGTTTGGCGCTGAGCGGTGCCTCCGGGTTGTCGAAGATGGTGGCCTGTCTGATCGCCTATCCTCACGAGGTGAGTTGGATCATTGGTTTTTTAAGGTACGAATCTTTGCTGACGGCTCTCTGTCTCTAGGTCATCCGCACTCGCCTCCGACAGGCCCCCATGGCGGACGGTCGGCAGAAGTACACCAGCATCCTGCAGTGCGCGCGGCTGATCCTGAAGGAGGAGGGGATGATCGCGCTGTACGGCGGGTTGACGGCGCATCTGCTCCGGACGGTTCCGTCGGCGGCGATCACGATCGGGACGTATGAGCTGGTTCTCAAAGTCCTTGAGAGACAATGATTGGCGTGGGCCGGCCAACGGCGAGGCGAGACCTCGGGCGGGCGGCGACCGCTTGCTTCCCGTCTCATGTATTATAGACTGTATGATTTCGAAAAAAAGATGTGGCGCATAGATACCCTGTAATCCGACTGCTTGAGGGGTGAATTGTACAGGCCACGATGTCATTCCGGGGTGTTTTGTTTTGTTGTGTGTGCTTCTGATTCGGGTTGGCGTTGAGCGCGTTTTTTTTTTGGTGCACGGTGTTGTTGTCAGCCACTCCCGAAATATATTTAGAATAGACTCTACTTGCTCATACTGTAACCACGGTCATGACTCAGTGCTCCGTTTCAGTTCTCTAGTTTCGCTAAGCATATATTGTTTCCTTGCACTAAGTGTGCAAAAATGGTCAATCCAGAATTTTCATAGCCTTGTCGGTCGTTCGTGTATGGAGTAGTAAGTACCGAAATGTTATCACGAGACTATTGATTACTTTGTGCAGATCTAACGCGCAATCTCGACGAAGGGACGAGAAGATCGGTATGGATGACAACTCATGAGATTTCTACCAAGAAACATCACCTTGAAGCATCGCCTTAAATCCACTCGGATAACAAGTGTCCCCGGCAAAGTTGTCGTAACCATGGCTCTGATAGGTTTAGCAAAGGACACGAGAACCCCCTCAAAACATATACATCGATGCGTACAGGATACAACTCCAACTCACACCCTACGAATTTTGATCACATCCACAATATAATCCACAATTTACAGATCAGGAGTAAAGGATAGAATAAGGATCGTAGCATTAACTCATCATATACATAAAACAGGCATGCCATTATAGAAGAAAAAGAAAAAGGATGGTATCAAATCCCACTCCCGCAACCTATCCACAGCCCGACCAATCATCTCACATCTCAGTGAGCATCTCACATCTCCACACCGCGATCCCCTTATCCGTCGTAAGGAAGGACCTTACAAGGCAGCCATCACACCGAGGACACCGGCGACACCGGCGACACCGAAGCCCAGGACGCCGGCGGGGGTGGCCTGGGCGCCGGCGGCACCGGTGGAGGAGGAGGCGGAGGCGGAGGCGGAGGCAGAGGAGGCGGAGGCGATGTTGGTGACGGTGCCGGTGGAGGTGGTGGTGCCGGTGGAGGTGGTGCCGTCGTGGGTGGTGGTGAAGGTGGACTTGGCCAGGGTCAGGCTGTCGGAGATGGTGGAGGTCGCGGTCGCGGAGCCGTTGGTGCCGGTCAGGGTGGTGGTCGACGCGGGCCACACCGAGGAGGAGCCAGAGAGCGCGCTGGAGACGGCGCTGGAGGCGGCCGAGCGGGCGTCGCTGGCCGCGCTGGTGGCCTCCGAGGCGACCGACGAGGCAAGCGAGGTCACGTCCGAGGCCCCGGCGGCTCCCGCGGTCGACGCGGCGCTAGCCAGCGAGGTGGCGCCGCCGACGGCGTCAGTGGCGGCCGACTCGGCGCCCGAGACGACGTCCGAGACGACGCCGCCCTGAGGGGAGGCCAGGGCGGCGGTGGACAGGAGGGTGGTCAGGAGGAGGCTCTGGAGCTGCATTTTGTTTGTGGTGGTGGTGTGGTGTGATAAGATAGCAGATAGCGGTAATCGATTATCGATAACTTTATTGAGATGGTACCTGACCCGAGGAGTGAGGATGGATGTATGGACTGGATGTATGCAGGAGAAATTGGGGAACTGATGAGACTCAAGACCTGCGAGGGACGAGGGTCTTTATATCCTCCATCGCCACCGGGCTTCTGGCATACACCACACAAGCAAACGCAAGAGGTGACTTACCTGTCGACGACAAGAATAGCAGCCCAGCCCAGCCCACTGCATGATCATCTCCATCCTGCTCCCCCACGTTGACAACCTCTCATACGAATCAGGGCTGTCGTGAAGGCTGGCTCGACCAGTCACAGCCCTGGAGACGCGGCCCAGGCCCCACTATGATTCCATTGCGAGCAGTCAGTGTCTTGCCGCGTTCCTGTTTCCCTGCTTGGCAATGACGTTGCCCATGTGTCTAGAATTTGGGTTTCTCTTTTGGCTGTGCTTCTCGTCGTCATTGGAGACCCGGGTTGTTTGTCTGTGGCGGTACGGTTGTGGCGGGTGCCTTGCCCTGCCTCTGTTTCTGGCCGGCATTCCCCCAATGTGAGCCATCCCACGCAGCACACCAGAGGGAGTGTGTTGGAGGGTGGTAGCTAAGAATAAGTTCAAACTCTGATACTGGACGGAACCCCCGAAGTGTACCTCATTCGTTGATCCCCAGCGCCGTCTCGCCACTCACAGGCACCAGCATTGACAGCCCGTGTAACCCTACCACAGGAGACTGACTGGTGTGGTGCAAACCACGTCGACTTGCTTCTCTTGCTGCTACAGCTACAGCTACAACTTCCTGCCGGCCATCAAACCTGCATGCAACCAAGCGTGGGTGCGTCATCAGCAACCAGCAACCAGAGCCCGAGACATGGACGGACGGAAGTATCGGGCCGGGGGGGGGGGGACAGGGCAGGCAGATGAGGATCGTCAGATTCGTCGGTCGGATCTTGGCTGGGCTGGGTTTGCGTAATCTTGATGCAGGGTAAGCAAAGAGGTGTTCGTGTACGGGAGAGCCAGTGATCAGCCTGACCACCACTACGGGTGGTTTATCCGGGAGCCATCGATTGACTTCAGGGTTAGTATTAGTACTCATATTATTTACCATGAGTACGTACATGTGTATGTTAATGCCGTGATGGTCAGCGCAGGGTTCCTGGACCCTGTTTTTCTTCGCTCTTTTCCTCCCCTCGGCGATGGAGGGTCTGATTGGAAGGAAAACGGGGGGGCAGAGTCATCCGGGGTAAATTTCTTGTTTCTCATAAGGCTGAGTGGTGAATTTCGGCTATTTGGTGCTCACCGAAATGCCTCGAAGTTTCTTTCCTCCCTTGGCCCCCCCCAAACAAAACAATCCCCCCCCCCCCCCCAGATTATTCCCCAGCCAGGCCCAGGACCATTGAACTCAAACCATACGATACGACCCGATCATATCGAAGAATACTGCAAATAACAAATCTAGCCTCAATTTCCCATTAACAAAGCAACAAACATAGTCCAGACTTAACCCAAATTCTCACTCTCTTTGTAAATCCTCAAGAAAAGAAACCCTTGACGTCAGCCGGGGGCTCCCACTTGCAATCAAGTGGAGTAGATACAAACCGTGCACTCACCACCGACCCCAACGACGATCCTTCCCCTTCGGCCAAGCAGAACCTCAACCCTCAACCCTCAACCCTCCCTCTCCGTCTTCGGTCTGCGCTTGGACAATACACAGCCCAAAAAATATCGCGCACAAACATTCTGGACCCGGTTTTTTGACGTCAATTCTCCCGGGTCTATTGCCACTGTGCAGGAACGACATCCGCCGAAAGCACGTTGGCCGTCATGGGTGCTTCTTTTTTGTCTAGGGGAGGCACGTGCGGAGTTGGCGGGTTGGTGCGAATTCGGGGGGCTGTGGTGTGATATGTCGACTTTTGTAGACGTACATACATATTGCTGGTGTGGTGATTTGGTGCACTTTCCGAGTGCGGATAATACTAGTTGTATGCGTATGTCATGTAGAGGTGAGCAGTGCTGCAGGTCATGCTGGATGATCTTCTATCGCTACCCGTACCGGCGGTCGGAGGTTACTGCCCTGACCGGGAGTACTAGGTAAGGATACACTCGCCACATGTGGAGAGATGTCGACCACTCCTGTTGTCTACGGGGAGCTGTTGGTGCGATGGGCAGGGGTGCGGCTACGGTGCTGTATGAGTAATATGGGTTACAAAAGTGCGCTCTTATTTGCCAAGGGTTAAATCCTGGCTGAACGAGACCATAAGGCTGAAAGCAATATCCCATGAAGAGCGCGTTGAGCACGTTGTCAGTTCTCTGAAAGTCAAGGGAAGATGGCGCAACTCGATCACATGATCCAGCCCTGGCCTGGCACCAAGCCAGGCGCTGCCCTCATACATGCAGCCACCGCAGCAATAATGCCAAAGGAACTGCAATTTTACCGTAAGAGTAACCGCACTTCTCATTACCATTAATCATAACCACCATGCTTCTATCTATTAAGTAAACCCCGGTCCACCCATCTATCCCGGTATATATATGTACGAAACAAAACCGCTATGCAAGACTCAACACTTCCCCCTTTTTTAGTAACTCAAACCAAGAAACTTTTAATGAGCCAGTTGACTGGCCAGTTTGCTCTTGGCCCGGATCTTCGGCCCGTAGAAGACCAGCACCCAGGGCACGATGACCAGGACGGCTCCCTATAGCCAACAAAGTTAGCACTCCGCCTATAACCCCCGATCAAGAAATGGAGATGAAACGTACAATACCACCCAACAAACTCGACGCCCCGGGGTACCCCACGTTCGTGAACAGAGCGTTAGTGACGAGCGGGAAGACGCCGCCTAGGAGGTTGCGGCCTGTTTCCATTTTCCGTTAGTTAATGCCCATCTGGGGTGGACAGCAGGGGGCAGGGAACATACAGCACGACTGCGCGGCGATGGCCGAACTGGCGAACCGGTGGTAGGTGTCGGCCAGATAATTGAAGACGGCCAGGTAGACGGCGAAGATGCCCATGGTGGCGCACCCGATCGCCATGGTCGGGGAGATCCACGCGATGGACGAGTACGAGGTCCAGCCGAACCAGAACAGGCCGATGGGCATCAGCACCGCCTCCACACACACGAAATACAGGCGGGCCTCCGGGGTGCGCGGGAGGAGGTTGTAGTGGTGGGCGATTTTGTCCTGGTAGATGCTGATCACCGTGATGAGGAGGGCGCCGACGCACATTGCTCGAGGATGTTAGCATGGGGACGGACTGGTTGGGATAGGCATGGGGAGAGGCATACAGGTGAAGACAGCGCCGGTCTGCTCGATGTTGAAGCCATGATTGGTGCGGAAGACCAGCGGGATGGAGCCGAATTGCAGGTACAGCACCGCCCAGCTGAACGAGACCCAGAGCGAGAAGAAGAAGACGACCGGTTCGCTGACCAGCATATCTGTTCGCCAGTGTTAGCACCACCAGACATTCTGTTCCGAACCAGAGACGACAAGGGCAACGTACGAAATGGCCGATACACCGAGACCCCGATCATCTTGACCAGCGACACACGCTCCTCGTCGCTCTTGACCCGCCAGCGAATCCGCCGGACCTTCCCCTCCTCCAGCATCACCCCGAAGTGGCCCGCCGCCTCCAGCTGCTCGTAGTACCGGTTGATCGCCTGCGCCTTCCGACTCAGCAGCACGCTGCCGCGCGTCTCCTTGAAGAAGCAGAAGATCACCACCACGAAGAAGGCCGCCACGATCGCGTGCGAGTAGTACACCCACCGCCAGGTCGTGTGGTGGACGATCGCGCTCGAGATCAGCGGGGCCAGCCCCGTGCCGAACAGCGCCGCCCCGGAGAACAGCGCCATCGGCGTGTTGCGGTCCTCCGCGTGGTAGATGTCGCTGATCACCCCGCCCACCATCGTCGAGAAGGTCGACGCCCCGATTCCCTGCAGGATCCGCGCCACGAGGAGGCCGCCGAAGATGTGGGTGCCGCCGCACGCGAGGAGGGATGCTGCATGAGAGACGAGAAGTTAGCGGGATGAGTTGCCACTATTATAATACTGATGTAGCTTATCTCGCAGGGGAACCAGGAACCACCCACCAGTGAACAGAATCCCGCTAGCCACGAAAATCGGGCGCCGCCCGTTGATCTCCGAGAAGGGCGCCAGCACCATCGGCGCCAGGGCAAACCCGATACAGAACACGGTGATCGTCAGGTTGTAGACCACCGCGCTGACCCCCCACTCCGCCGTCAGCACGCTCGAGGCGGGACTGACCTCGCCTGCGGAGTATCCGGCCAGCGCGGTGACGGCGCAGGCGATCCAGGTCATCATCGACTTGCGCCATTTCGGCCACAGGAACGGGGAGATGTATTTCTCGAGGTTCGGCGGCTCGGGCGGGGCGGACTGGTTAGGGCCGGGCGGCAGCGTGATGCACGGGGTGGGCAGCGGCGTGTCGAGTTCGAGGTAGCGCTGTTGGATCTCCTGCGTCGAGGGGTCGAAGCCGACAGCGCCCTTTTCGTCCTCGCCGAGGTAGGCGTTGGTGGGTGTGGTTGCGCCGGTGTCGGGCAGGAAGACGGTGCCGGTGGTCGACGAGCCCGAATCGTCGAGGGGACCCCGCGGGGTGTCCGAGGGGGGATCTTGAGGCATTTGTGGTTCTTACTGTGATGATGGTCCGTATCCGAGTGCACTGGTGTATCTGAGCGTGTGCATGTGGGGAGCAGGTTAGGTTTATGTGTGTCAGCTCATATGTCGTCGTCTCTCGTCACCAGACCTTTACGAGGGAGCAGGGATGTGGAAGTTATTTAAGAAAGGATGACGCCGGTGGATTTGTGGAGGAAAAGCACAGAACACCAATTTGGAGAAATCTTCCTTCGGGATGTTCTCCGAGGGCGCCAGATAATGAGGCCTGAGCTGCCCTCCGGAGTTGGCACCCCCCTCCGCATTCCTTGCCCATTTGAAGACTCATGGCGCTATACAAGTGGCCTGTTGCTGCAGGGTGTCTGGCCTCATGCTGCCCACCTATCGCACTCCCCTGTCCCGATATTCGATGCCAGATGACTTGATCGAATATCAAGGGCAGCACGAGTGTCGGCCGATACCCGCCCGCGCAAAAGCCAAAGCAGACGCCGCACGCGCAAATTCTGTCCTGCGTTGGGGAAGCCGACGTCTCCACTTTCTCCAATTCGGAGAAGTCCTTCTTTGACTCACTCGCCGTGCGGCCAATCGCATGGCTTCCTCGTGCCGGATCCCGGCTGCTGTCATTGGTCAGAGATTGCTTTCGGCACTGGTTGCGATTAGATCGGAAAAGATAAGCCGCACTCGGCTGGGCTGGGTGTACCAGCCAGCCTGAGCTTGAATTGACTGAGCAGGGGCTTTAGCATACATAGTCATAGTGGCTTACGATCACTTACGCGCTGGTCTGTTTTCTAGTGCCTCACGTATGGGAGCATCGCCAGACGGTGAAGCTGATTGGCATATCCTGTCCAATAGACCCGAGTGACGGTGCAGCTGCACACGTCTCTTACTTGGCAGACCGACCGTGCACGTCGATGCTGTTGATGAATTGTAAGCGAGACCACTCCATAGAAGTAGTGAAGGTTGGTGCTTACCGGGTAAGTCGGAATAAGCAAGACGCTCGGGCAACTTGAAGGCGCGCTTACGCACCATTATTGAGTCGACACCATTTGTAAGTTCTTCTCCATTTTGGGGAGAGCAAGGGGCCAGCGGTTGTCTGGAGCATGTGATCGTTGTCGGGGAAGTTGATGTTGTGCTATAATTGTTATTCGGTTGCGCTGTATTCGTATCCGCTTCGGTGGTATATAGCGGATTGCTGAATTCAGCGGTCGGGGTTGGAAGCGAGTATTTCCCACACGAAGGTGTTGGCACCAGTTATCTGGAGAATGAAGGCTTGGCCTAGAGACTGAATAAGCCTCTACTGCAACAAGCATGTGTCTCTCATAAGTCGGGTACCTGCTATGCAGTTCATGGCATTTGAGAGCTTGGGTGCGGCAATGATTTCCTTCAGGTGCGTTCACTGTGAAACGACTAGCGAGGTAGACGTGCCAGGCTAGAGATTGAGTCTGCATCAGGTACGGTAGGCTACATATTATGCGTCATGCTTATGCTTAGTTAGACAGAAGCACGCAGACACCATAGAAACAGGACAGCAGTGTGAACGCTTACTACAACGACGATCAGCAAGCAGTACTGCGCTACGACGAGCAAGATCTGCTTGATCTGTTCTCCGAAACACTCTTTCAATTGTTCAGTTTGTTAGCTAGCCCATGGGAAATGGTTGGGCAGCAGCAACTTGGAAACCCAGAAGAATCAAAATCAGAATCATCGCCGATCAAAGCAATGCACTCACTACCAACGTATAGCGACACCAGACAGACAAGGCAAAGGTCGGAGTACCAGCACAACTATGTTCTAGTCTTATAGAATCACTCGTCGGGGGATGGAGTGGTAGCTGACTCTGGAAAGCTGACTCCGGCGCAAAGCAGAGTCAGGGGCTCGCTCGGGCCGACCCATGATCATGTTGTTTGAGACTATTAAGAAAACGGTCGCCTCACTAGTCCTGTAGGTGCTTCCAGAACCTCCAAGTTCAACCTTCGAACTGTAGCTCAAGGCCTGATATTCTGAGACAATATGCATTCATTTTAGTCACATCGCGGTGCGCGGTGGAAATGGACGATCGGACAATCCTCATCAACCAACCGCTCCCGTTTCTCCATTCCCAGACAGGGTGCGGAAAGTGAGTGAGACATTCCAACAGCAAATCATCAAAATTGCATGTCGACCTGTCGCTAGCGTGATGATGATCATGATTTTGGGAGTTGAATGTGCTGGTCGGATTAGGTCGTGCAGCCCGGACATGAGAAACATGTCGATAGTCGGGAGATTCTCAGACCTCATCTCCGAACCCCGCTCGCTAGAGAATATAGACTGAAAAGTCAGACACCAGGGGGATTGACAAGGGAGAAGAGTGAAGCTTCGTACGATGAATACACTATGTATCTCAAGCAGCGCAGCCAGCTGCCCCTCACACAACCAAAAGGGTAGAGCTGAAAAGCCTCATATGCGAGGAAAGTAAGTATGCTGCACGTTGTTTTCATGCACCAAGCTACGGACGTCGCCGGAGTGGATTATGCATAAGAGAGACACCCTGAATTGGACGCATTGGAAAGGGCGCCGGGCGGAGATTGTCATTGTTTCACCTGATGGGCAATTTGACCCCGCCAAGACCTGCAGGACACATGAGGCCAGCGTGCTATTTTGGGGATCGCATTGTTTGTGGCAACTGGCAAAGACACGGGCATATTCGGTGCAGAATTGACTATCGTATTCGGATTTCATTCCGATTCCTCCTCAAGGTGTGGTTCAATTCCTGGTCAGGAGGCGTTTATGCTTCTGCCTAAACAGACCATATAGCATGTCTGCTGAACATTTTCGTTGGTGTATGCAATCCAGCGGCAGCACTGTCCCCCGGCCGAATCTTCTTCAGGAAAAGGAGGGGTGGAAACCACCTACCTCAATTGCCACTGAAGGTACTCTAACTCATCCATGATCTTCGATGTTCCGAGACAAATGTGGAGGTGGCTGTCCCGCAGTTATTACCTCATAACCCCCGTTGGGGGGAAAACGCGGGAATCCCCGATTTCCCCGAAGACGCCCGCCAACGGCTAAGCCACCACCGGACTCATGCCAGGTGTAGATTGGACGGGCACCTATCAAGGTTCTTACACTCCGTACTGAGGGAATCGCTAGAGGCGATCCCCGATCGATCGATTGACATTCTGACAGACTATTGAATTCATCCTCACTTTGGGTCCTGAGACAATCACCCGCCTCATCCAAGTCGCTGTGAAAGAACGGTGGCTGTCTCAGTGGCAGGTAGCAATATCATTCACGGAGCTGAGAACAACCGCAGCAAAGGCAATGCTGCATGTAACCGGCTGCAACCCAGCAGCCACTTCGACTCAGGCAACCGAACCTCGGCTGCGGCTGCGAGGGGGAGGAAAACAGCCCATCGACCATCAACAATTCTCCAAATGAGACAATGTCTGTAGTGTGGGTCGGATCTCAAAGTCTTGCCAGAGCAGAAAAACGGGGACAGCGACCGGGGGTTACTATTTCTGAAATGCCAATGGCCCTCCAAGGCCGAATGTCTCGCCCACATGGGCCGAATCCTCACCAATTAGGGCATCCCTTGGTCACGCCCCACCCGCCGCTAAATTTGGGGCTGGAGGACCCTGAATGATTCAATGAATAGTACGCACTAGCTGAGAGACAATGACAGCATAGATCCTGGTTGCAGCTGCAGGAAATAATGAGAAATAATGACTGGCTGTACTGGGTTGGACGAGGTGGTCATGGCTTCTCAGCTGTTCTGGAAGATATAAAGGGACCGTCTATCCGGCTCCTCGTTCCTTCTCATCATCATCAACATCATCAACACTTCCACTACACTGCACAACCACACCACACTTTCTACCCTCTAATCACTTTTAATCCAACCCCAACCGCCAACATGCAGCTCAAGAACATCGTCCTCGCCGCCTCGGCCGCTGCCACCGCTGCCGCTCTCCCGGCCACCGACGCTTCCTCCCAGAGCCAGACCTTCGGCATCGTCTCCATCCACTCCGGCAGCGCCGTGCAGTACCAGCCCTTCACCGCGGCCAAGAGCAGCCTCTTCGCCGGCCTCCCCAGCCAGAACGCCAGCTGCGCCCGCCCCAAGGAGCAGACCGCCACCTTCTACATCCAGGACGGCGCTCTGTACCTGTACGACCAGTCCGCCACTCCCCAGGAGTTCTACGTCGACCGCTCGGGCATGGGTACGTCCTCTTCCTCTCCTTTTGCCGGACTATTCATAGACCCCCTCACCCTTCACCAATACTGACAGCTATGCGTATCAGGCCAGGGTAAGATCGGCTACACGACCGGCGCCCAGCCCGCCCCCAAGAACGCGGAGCGCCAGGGCTGGTCCATCGACAAGAACAACCACCTGCAGTTCGGCGGCAGCGACCTCATCGCCTGCCCCAACAGCATCGACGGCGCCTGGAGCATCTGGGCCAGCGCCGGCGTGAGCAACCCCGCCGGCAACAGCGACTGCGTCGGCATCGCCGCCCGCGTCGAGACCACCACCAACCCCAACGGCTGCCTGTACACCGAGTAAATGGTGCATGCAGCTAAGAATCATGACAGCCTCCGGTCTGGACGCGGTTGATCCAAGGAAGTCGGGCTGTTTGAGATAGTTCGGTATATGTCTGTGACCGGGCATTGTCATACTGCTTTTTATGTATCGGTGGGAGAAAAGTGGAGGAAGGTGGATGGTATTGACAATTTGTAATTGCGATAGGGTCTGAGTTCTGGTTAACTGCAATATACTCCCTCCACATCATCCTTTTCCTTGATAGTAGTGCATGAGGTGTAGTTTCCTATTTTATCGAATTTAATCAGATCCGTCCCTTGAAAATTTTTAGCTCAACGCATATACCCCAATCCTATTGCAACATTCGTCCTCAGCTCCCGAACTGCAACCTCCACCATCTCCCTCTCCTTACCATCGACATCACCAAACGGAGACTCCGGCCCCAGCACCGTCCGCACAGCGAAGTACTCCACCCCAAGCTCCTCCGCCATCTCACGCCCCCCTTCACTACCAGGTACATACACAAAAGCCTCCTCAGTGACATCCTCCCCCCGCGACCCGGCCAGTACAGCCTTGACGAACCGGAGCCCCGCATACGCCATGCACGTCGTGGCGCTCCCGGCGCCCTGCTTACTCGTGACAGTCTCATCGCCGCCGAATTGCACGCCTAATTGTTGGTAACAGAATTAGTATTCACGTGTTTTCTCCCGCTAATGCTTTGGAAAAGATAGGGAAAGACGAACGATGCACAAGACCAGCAAGAGTTGCCTCCTCGGCGTGGATAGGCGGCTGCGCCTGGCTGTACAGCGGCACGATCGTCGCGCCACTGTGCCCTCCTATCACGGGGACGCGGAGACGCGTTGGGTCAGTGCTCAATGCCTGGCCGGTGAAGACGAAGGCTCGCACTACGTCGAGGGTCGTGACGCCGAACAGCCGCGCGGGCTGGAAGACCCTCGCCTGTTGAAGGGTTGCGGCGGCGACGGTGACAGTGGATGTGACCAGGTTGGTTGGTGACGATGCAGGCGATGGCTGCGGGGCAGGTAGTGGCGATTTTGGTGAGGATGTCGCGGATGATGGATGCGTTGGTCTGGGCAGCCAAGGGTTAGTGGGGGGACGGATGGTTGTGTAGACTGCGAATCCCTGGTGCGATCCTTGAAGAGATCTTATGTACTTGCAGCTCGGTGGGAGGGGGTGGATGAATTCTGCGTCGAAGGCACCTGCTACCTGCTTGATGTTAGAGAACTGTACTTCGAGTGCATGGGGGCTGGGCGTGGCGGATGGCTTTGAAGAAAAGGATGAAGGGTTTAGAAGGCGACATTTTCTTGGGTAGGGATGAGGGATGATTTCAGTTTGGGACTTTGTTGCAAAGGGTTGAATTGGGACCTGGAATCAGTGTGGTGATTTGTGCTATACTGACAGTAGATCACAGTAGATTACTAGACAGCTGCAAGTGGTTAAGCTTATCTACATGCTGCAGCCAAAGCGACGTGGAAAATTAGGGCAATCGTTCTGCCGCCAGGGGAGCGTAGACGATATTACGGGTAAAGGTTTCGGCGCGATTCATCCACGACCTGCTCACGGTGGACCTGAAACGCAGTCTGTATGTCTATTTGGAGTAAAGAGATTTGTATTAGTCAAGGACATTGTGTCTTTCTTTGTGTATTCGTATCTGAGCATATATCAGCCAGCCCCTTCAGGCTAAACGGCTGTCACCATTAGGAAACCGCTACTGCATCCAACAGCAACATAATATCCCCCCTCCCTTTTTTGATACCACAAGCCCACTACTCACAGTCAGGAATACCAACCAACTGCGCCTCATTCCGCGGAATCGTCCGCAACCACCGGAACAGCAGCTCGGCATCATGGATCCGATGCAGCGTGTCCCGCCCGGGGGCGAGCTGCACATAGAAGTAATTCGGCTCGGGCGGCTGGCAATTCGGGGCCACAATGCGTTCACGGTAAAGACGCATCCAATCGCCAGCGTAGATGATGCCGTACAGGGGCTTGGCCTGCGGGTGGTAGAACCGCAGCCGCCGGAACTCGGCGAGCAGGGCGCACAGCGGCTCCGACTCCCACGGGATGACGGAGAGGGCGGGTTCGCGCACCGTTACCACAGTCAGCGTGGTCGCGAGGTTGAGGCGGATGAAGGCAACCTCATAACTGGGAAAAGGATTGGTAATGAGGTGCATGTCCCTCGTGGAGAGGGTGAAGCCAGTGGGGCGGGGGTTTGGACGGGTAGCCATGTTCATGCGCCGAGGTGGGTGGGGTGGAGTTGGTACGGGGCTGGCCATTGTTTTGGCTGGATCCATGGGGATGGCGGTTGGAATCGGTTGTACAAAGGGTCAAGATGAGGTTATATACAGAGTTGTGGGGAAGTGTGTGTTTGTGTTTGTGTCGGTGGGTTCAGAGGAGACTGTGACATCTGCTTTGTTCTAATTGACAGTCACCCTTAGTGGAGCTTTCGAACATCATCATACGAGGGTATGGTATTGTACTCTGTGAAAGACGTTTATGGAGACTTTCAACTGAGACTAGAAGGGAATCTGTCTGCATCTCAGGCATTGTGCAGTAACACACATCTAGAAAGATATTTCACTCCACTTGGTGATAAGTATCTGGAGTCTTTCACCTATGATGTCAAGACCTACCTTCAAAGCTAAGTCAATATATCAAATATTAACACATAGAATGGGGATTTTTCCCATTTCTTTAGGGCTGATTGTCCCGCTTGTTATACAATATTCGTTCTTGACTTCCAATCAAACGGATTCTGCCGGAGATCTGCAGCCGGAGACCTTAAAAGGATCGTGAGTGTAATGCAATAGATGATGGATACAATAGTGAGCATTTGACTGGAGTGGGATCTTCTAGCTCAGCATGGAAGCAGCGTGGTCTGCGCCTAGGATATCAGGAGAGAGCGTAAATGTTTGAAGCAGTAGGAAAGACGAAAGCAAACTCTTCACTCTCGATTGTATTTTAGCTAATATATGCGGACTTTGCTGTGTTCTATATGAGAATCCATGTATACTATTGGAGGCATGATAGGTTTGGACTGACTATTAACAAAAAGACATACCGTTAAGGTCACTCCTGCTGAAGAGATCTGGTTGTCAAGTAAAACCTTACGTCTAATTTAGATCATACATAACAAACCAGATTTATAAGCATGAGATGAAAATAGGAAGTAATCATAAAAATCACTGATCAAAGGCTCGACGAGGTATTTTACATGTACACTTCAGTAACAATCAATTTACAATTAGCAATATCCTCCATAGTTGGTATAACAACCGTCTTTGAATTTTTTCAGCTGGTAATATGTTGAAATCCTTATCTACGATGCTCTTTATTTAATGGCTGAAATCCTTATTTAGGAGGGGACTGGCCGGGATCAACGGCAACAGCCCTATGCCCTGTGGTAGTATCCAGCTTTTTGGACAGGCTTGGAATTGTCTGCCTATAGGGGAATATCGAAAGCTATACCGCTCCACTCTACTACGTTTCCCTCTTATCTCCTTTGTCTCCATGAAGCTTGATGGCTACGTAAAGGCATTCTGAAATGCTCCGAAAGACTTTCTTTGCCGTCGTATATCATCACAAACCTCATATCCAGGGATGGACTGCCATCAAAGAAAGTCGTACAAAGTTCAGGATAACTCCACTAAGTCGAGCACAGGCAAAGAAATTTCTCCATAAGAGCCACAAAGAAATCGCCCTGAAGCCCAGCTCACTGAAACCCCATTCCATGCTATAAATAGTCCAAGACCATCTATGATTAGGAACCATCCACCCCCCATCCTCACAACACCCATGACTACCACACCTACAAGCACCTTTGTCGACCGGAACCCCTCACCCGCAGCCATGAAGTTCCCCCGAATTGTTGTTGAGGGCAACCTTGTCATCAATGGCAACGTGTACATAGGGGTCCCAGCCTGCCCCTCCGGGGATGCATCTGGGTCTGAGGATGCGAGCTCATCGTACACCTCCTCGGAGCACTCTATCTCTTCCCGACCGCAATGCACTTGTACCTCGTCGGTGTGCACCTCGTGCACCTCGTCTGAGGGCAGCAGCACCTCCGAGTCTGAGTACCGTACCGGTCGCCGGCCGGATTGCACCTGTACCTCGTCGGTGTGTACCTCGTGCATCTCGTCCGAGGGTAGCAGCACCGTGGAGTGCGAGTATTGTACCTGTACCTGTCCCCAGCCTCACTATCATGGCGACGGCTCCTCGAGCACCTCTTCGGGCACCTTGGGGTCGCAGGACAATGCACCCCGCTTCTTCGACTGGACTCCTATACCAGTTCCGCGGGTCCGCGCGATGCCCGAGGCCTCTTCGGCCCCCCCCTTCGAGGCCGAGGATCTCCTCGACATTCACTCCGAGGGTCCACCGTGCCCCGAGGCCTCACCAGCCCCGGAAGCAGGCCCAGCGAGCCCGCCACCCCAGCTCGGCCCCCTCTCCCGCGGGTTCACAAGTCACGAACTCCGCACACAGCCCGCCCCTATCGAGCAACCGTTCGAGCTCTACCACGCCCATGTGAGCACCACGACCTTCGTCGTGCTCATCGTGTGGACGAGCGCGACCCCCATCGACTGGCAGGGCGAGCCGCTGCGCGTCATGCAGCACGAATTCCATTGCCTGCGGGCCCTCAACCACACGGCCCAGGTCTTCCACGGGGTCATCAAGGCCGGCAAGGAGATCTGCCTGTACCGCGAGGCCGGCAACGGCGAGGTCGACCAGTTCACCCACAACGGCCGCTCCCACTTCCACGAGGAGGACGACCTCTTTATGCTCCGCCAGTGGCGCGACCGCGTCCCGCGCGAGAAGATCGAGGGGGTCAGCGACACGGACTCCGATGTCTCGTCGCCCTACCGCCCGCGCTTGTCTTCCAGCAATTTCTTGAATATTCGGGAGGAGGATCGGGATTCGCGGTAGACTGGGTTGGGGTTGAGGATGGGGTTTTTGCCGGGTGGTCTCTGGCTAATCTGAAAACAGAAAAATAAAAATGGCCCTGAGAAGGGTTTATTCAATGATATTATGTGGTTCTCTGTAGATTTGTTTTCTAATTTGTAGTCTGTTGTTGCTGTCGGGTGTCAGTAAGCCTGAAAGCTGATCCAAGCGCTAATATGTTCTTGACCTAGGTAGGCAGTTCTTGAAAGATAGGGCTATGCCTACGCTCCCCAGCTAGCTAAACTTACAACTCAGCGGTATAACTCCAAGTTCGCTGCGAAATCGACAATTGTAGTATCAAACAGCTTTGACACAACTCGCAACATTATAAAGACTACGCCCGATACTAACAAATCGGTGAGTCAACCATCTATTCTATATTTGTGGCCTTCAATGAATACGTAAAGCTCTGGACAAGCTGTGACCTAGCAGACCCGGGTACTCTTCGCATCTACTCGTGAAGCCCTAAGTCAGTGAAGAACCCAAACCACGCCGCTGTCCCAATATCCAAACAACCAACCCCTGTCCACTCCCAAGCAGCAAGCAGATGCAAGCTTCGACCTAATGCACCAACAAGCCCGACAGAACGTGGCCGCCTGCTGGCCTTCTCACTATCGAAACTCAATTTAATCGACCATTACCTGCGCCCCACCGTCCATCACAGTCTGTATTCTGACTGGCGCACAGAATCTTTCCTGTCCGCTGCCCGCCAAGACTGTCCTTGGCACGCACCACATGGCCTGGCCATCAACAGAGTTCTGATCCTGCAGTCGTGAGCGCTGCCCAGAGATTTAGGATAGTTTCTACTCCAGCGGTTATGGAAGGGTTACACGGGGTTTAGGACTCGAGACGAAGGCACGTCGAGGGTTCGCGCTAGATGGAATAAACTCTGCAGCATGCAGCATCCCTGCTAGTTTGTCTGCGGCGTTTTTCTTCAGAACAAGCTCTCTGGCCAGCAGAATTTGATTTTTCCATTGCCTTCGTGCACACACTGATAAATTGTACCAACCCGGCACCGAGCGAAAGGGTCAACCCCACTGAGCAGCAAGAAACTACGTACTCCAGCCGATGTGAACGACGCCGCAGGCATCCGGCCGAAACAAACCTTCCCGAGAAGCACAACACAGAAAAAAAACCCCGGAAGAGGGCGGGACCGAGCCAGGGCAGAGAATTCTTTGGTGTGGTTACTCCGTAACCGTAGGCGAGATCGCATCCACACTGACCCCAACAATCCATACTGCTTTCAGTGTAGCCGCCCCGCCGGATAGATTAAACTAGTGCTGACGGCGCGGACCGGACTGCACAGACTTGATTAAGGGTGCAATTATCGTCTCCTCCGCTCGTGCTGTAGTGTGCGCTGCATATTACAGAAGAAAAGAGAAATGAAAAGGGGGAAAAAATCGTATAATGAAAAGTATGTACACGAAACAAAAGAAACCGTCCTCGGTCAAGGACCATGCTCCAGGCCAGCCTAGCGCAACCAACTCTCCTCCGGCGCATGCGGCGTCGTCCTCCCTGCGGCCTCGACATCACTATGCGCGCTACTCCGCGTCTCATGCGTGATCTCGATCTGGTTGGAGACGACGATCGCCCCGTTCTCAGCACCTGGATGGGGTGCAACCGGCGCAGGGTACGCCTTGAGCGCCTGCATCTTCACATCGTCCATCATGCGCTCCTCGCTCTCGGTGAACGTCAGCCCGATCGTGATCGGATCCGAGGCTTTGCCGCGGTTGCGGCTCGAGGAGCCGCCTGGTCCACCTCCGCCACCCCCGATGGTTTGAAAGCCGGACGGGTTCTTGTAGCTCTTCTGCGAGGACTGGAAGGCGCTGCCGAAGGCGCGCGCCAGCCAGGTGCGCAGCAGGTGGAAGACCATCGGGAGGTTCGTGGTGATCACCGCCGCGAAGGTCTCGCGCGTGCCCCATTCTTCGGCTAGGGAGGCGCCGTTGTCTTGTTCCTGGGCGGGAGTTAGGGTTTCCGGGAGGCCTTTGGGGAGGGACGGGGATGGACTCACCACTATGATGAAGACGGCCTTGAGGGTCGCGCAGACGAGAATGAAGATTCCCGCGCTGAGGATGATGGTCGCCGCGATCTTCTTGATGACTTTCAGGCTGGAGCCCCACAGCATGGGGATCGGGAGGAGGATCAGGTAAGGGTCGGTGAGGAGGTTGGAGGCGAATGTTATGGCGACGACGGGCATGGAAATAGCGGGTTGGCAGACGTCTGATCGTCGTTGTCAGTAGGTTTATTTCTGATTGTGATCGAGGTGGGACTTACTGCCGGGATCGGGGTAGATTTGCCAATTCTTGTGAAATGGGCGACATGAGGCGAGGATTGTGATGATGCTGGCGAGAAAACTTCCAACCACCAGCACGAACCCAATGTAGATGGGAATGCGATATCGCCGACCGAGGCCGTTCTGTGTCATTCACATTAGTTGTGATCGCAGACCAGGGTAACAGGTGTGGTGCTCACCATCAACCGTGTATAGAAGGCTAGCATGGACAGCTTGAGAAAGCTGATCAATGCCGAATAGGTGGCCCAACCCGCCAGTTGGATCTTCGAGCCGATCACCCTGACATGACAGATCAGTGAACCGTGCAGCATAGACGTGGATCGACCGACAAACCTGGCATGATACTCGGGACTCTCTGGCGACAACGCTGCCCGTTGAGCGTCGGTCATGCTGTTGTTGGCCAGCCCGTGGGCCACCGCGCCCACGTTGTAGGCCAGAGAGACCTGCGCCGTGTAGAATAGCTGCAATTCATGTTAGCGGTTGATTCAAGCCGGCAGAAAGGAACGTACTCACAATTCCAATCCACACCAGGTAATCATCCAGGCGCAGATGCCTCCATCCCACGACTCTGGCCTGCGACCAGGTCCGCAGCATGGTCACGGCCAACCCAATGGCGTACATGGTCCAGAGCTGGACGTTGGTGTTGTAGGCCGCCTGGGAGGCGGCATCCCGCGCCTCCAGAAGAGTCCACATGTCCTGCCGGCGGAGTTCGATCTACAATGCGAACAAGATCTGTAAGGTACTGGGGGGATATGACAGGGCAGACGTCTCCATTTGTTTTGGGAGTGGACTAGAGAAGCGCGATCTGTTGAGTATAAGAACGGATGTGGATGTTGTCGTGCAGCAGCCTTGCACAAGCCGAGTGTGTGTGATTCGGAGTTTGGATTCGGCTATTGGATCACGAAACTCAGGAACACCTGGTGGCAAATGTAACGTGGGTGCGCTGTCCTATTTTTGAGTCGCCAGGTACGCACAAGAACGACCTGAACTCCGTGTGGACGGCCACTTCGCTGCGAGGGCATACATCTGGCCAGTGCTTGCACTCTATCCTGTGCCTGGCTGAATTACAACTGAGAAGTATTATGCAATGATTGGCCGTGTTCCAGTGGCGGGTATCAAAGTTTGAGGATGAAGTCTATAACCTGGAAATTGGAGTTTTATACAGTTGTGCATATTAAAAGGCCAGAACAGACCTCGGTTGGAGGCACAAGCACAAGGTTAAATCACGGAGAATCCAGCGCCCCACCCACAATTAGATAAGGTGTCCACTCATTAGTCCTAAGGAAGTAAGTGATCGACCAGTTCCGCAGCCTTCCGTCATCCCCGAGGGGATTTGTTCCATGGTTGGATGGTGAGTGTGGAGCACGCCATTCCCCCATTCAGCTCGCTGGTCAATTAGGGCCACCACCACATCCGGGCATCCATCCACCCCCAATCCACCACCACCCCAGCAGCAACCTTTCAGCCTAATCCTGGTTATCGGGGAATTACACACTCAGATATATCTCCGGTGCTACTCCAGGAACCCGGATCATATGACTGAATCCAGTCAGGAACACAATCCTGAGTCGAGTCCCAATTTTGGTCGAGTGGAGCCTGGCTGCCACGAATATTAGAAATAAACTCGTCTCGCCCCCCGGGGAGGATTCTCTACAGCGACGATCCTCAACACCCGTCGCCCGTTGTCATCTTTGCTTGTTCTCCTTCTCCCTTGGCTTGCCATCCGGTATCTGCACACAATGTATCGGTTCAAGCTGGAATTCGTGACGGTTGTCGCCACGTGGGCGCTGTCGGCAGTCTGTCGTTCCCTGCCTCGTGCGGCCGATGGGTCGGAGGGGGCTTGCCACTCAGGCGATGCCGACTTCAAGGCTCTCGGAGCCAAGCTGTCGAACACCGCGCAGGTCTACTGCCCGGGCTCCAGTGAATTCACCAATGTGACCACCCGCTGGTCGGTGCTCGAGGAGCCCGAGGTGAACATTGTCTTTGTGCCAGGCACGGAGAATGATGTTGCCGAGATCGTATGCCCGTCTTAGTCCACGACTATCAGGATGACATACTGACCAAGACGATGTACAGGTGCAATATGCCAACAAGAAGGAAATCCCCTTCCTGACCTACAATGGCGTCCACGGGGCTCTCACCTCGCTGGGCAAGATGGACTACGGGATCGCCATCTACATGGGCCAGCTGAGCAGCGTCCAGGTCGCCGCTGATGGCCAGACCGCGACCTTCGGTGGGGGCACCATGTCCAAGATTGTGACGGACGAGCTGTGGGCCGCCGGCAAGCAGACGGTGACGGGCACTTGCGAATGTGTCAGTCTCCTGGGCCCCGCTCTCGGGGGTGGCCACGGCTGGCTGCAGGGCCACCACGGCCTCGTCGCCGACCAGTTCGTCTCGATGAACATCGTGCTGGCCAACGGCACGCTGACCACCATCGACGAGACCTCCGACCTCTGGTGGGCCGTCAAGGGCGCGGGCCACAACTTCGGGATCGTCACCTCGCTGACCTCGAAGATCTACGACATCGAGCACCGCGACTGGGCCATCGAGACCATCATCTTCAGCGGCGACCAGGTCGAGGCCGTCTATCAGGCGACAAACGACTACCTCTTGAAGAACGGCACACAGCCTGAGGGCGTGATAAATTGGTCCTACTGGATGAACAATGCCGACGCGGACCCGAACAACGTACGTCCCTCCCCATTCCACTCATCCAACCTCCGATCTAACCCCCCTCAAGCCCGTCATTGTCTTCTACCTCATCCAAGAAGGCGTCACCGCCGTCGACTCCACCTACAGCGCTCCCTTCCACGCGCTGGGCCCCATCTCCGTGACCCCCGCCAACGGCACCTACAAGGACCTGGCCGGCTGGACCAGCATTGCCGTCGACTCCCCGCCCTGCCAGAAGATGGGCATGGCCAACCCGCGCTTCCCGATCTACCTCGAGGCGTACGACGTGGCAGCCCAGAAGCAGGCCTGGGACGTCTACGCGGATGCCACGCGCGGCGCCTCCCCGTTCAACAACTCCATCTTCATGTTCGAGGGCTACTCCGCGCAGGGCGTGCACGCCGTCGACAGCGCCTCCAGCGCCTTCGCCTTCCGGACCGAGAACCTCCTCGCCGCCCCGATGATCAACTACTTCCCCGACGGGGACGAGCTGGACCAGAAGGCCAACAGCCTGGGTCAGCAGCTCCGCGAGACTCTGTTCAACGCGACCGGCCGCCCGGAGATCCGCGCGTATGTTAACTATGCGTATGGCACGGAGTCGCCGCGGGAGTTGTACGGGAGTGAGGACTGGCGGCAGCAGCGGTTGCAGGCATTGAAGCAGAAGTATGATCCCACCGGAAAGTTTAGCTTTTATGCGCCTGTTGCGTGAGGGGTTTGACGGGGATGGAGGCTGTCTGTAATTGCTGTTCTGGTGCAAGAGTTAAGTAATGTATATAAAGAACACACATACATAGAAGTATAGAGTTAATTTGCTTCACAGCTGATGTAATTTGCTTGGTGGTTGGTCGGCCCTAGAACGTCAATCGCCTTGCACATACCTCGTAGCACTTCAGAAGGCTGTGACTATAAGGAATATAAGGATTATTTCGAGGGAATCACAATCTGCCATTCTGCAGATCAGGACCCGATGGTGAATGGTCAGCCCTCCTCACTGCCGATCCGGAAATGACTGCTTCCTTGACTCAGAACGAACGACTGGACCGTGCAGCATCTTCAGCTCCATCCGACTTATGCAGCAGCTATATTGGCAATTTCACCGCCCAGCTGGTTTCCACTGCATACGAAACCATGTGACCGAAGCCCATCGACATGATTGCTTTTCCATTCGCGCATTCATTCCCGATAGCCTTGCATAGGCGGCTGCAGGTCTCCGGCATTCCTCGAATCATGACCCGATACGGCGGAATGCGCTGCATGAAGATGCATTTCTCCTTTCTGCATCCGGCAGCGATCGGCGAATTGTGATTGTTGATGGGGTGGGTGACCTGTCTCGTGCATGTCGATTATTGTTTTGCCGGGCTCACTTTGCCCCTTGTTCAGCTCCTGCTCATCTGTCTGCAAGGGTGTTTGTCTTCTTAGGGCTTGGAAGCCGTGCTGACTTCGGGGGTGAGACTGCATCAGGAGAAACAAAACAATTCTACTTCGCAACCTCCCCTCCTTCTCCATTATTCTCTCTGATCATGAGACGAGACACGCTGTCACACCCACGACCATGTCGACGACGAAAGACGAGCTCGACACTCCCTCCACACGTGAACTCGCCTCCAGCCATGCCACGGACGCAGTCGAGTCCGACCCTTCCGATTCCCCTCCCGTCTGGAAGCCGAGAAAGGGCCAGTGGCTGATCTTCGGCTGCCTGGCGCTGCTCTCCTTCATCATCTCACTGGACACCACGGTCATCACCCCGGCCATCCCGGTACCTGCCCCCGTCCACACCCACAGGCGATGCCACTAATACCCTCAGGTCTTGGAACAATCCCTGAAGGGCGACACAGTCCAAGCCTTCTGGGCGGGCACCTCCTACCTCCTCGCCAGCGCCGTCTGCCAGCCCTTCATCGTGGACCTATCCGATGTCTTCGGCCGGCGGGAGGTCCTCTTCGGGGTCGTCAGCCTCTTCACGCTGGGCACGATCCTCTCGGCCGTCGCCCACGACTTCCACCTGTTCCTGGCGGGACGGTCGCTGCAAGGCGTCGGCGGCGGCGGGATCATGGCCAGCTGCATCGTGATCACGACGGACATCGTGCCGCTGCGGCAGCGGCCGACTTACTACGCGATCGTGCAGATGGCGTGGGCGATCGGGACATTGGCGGGGCCCGTCGTGGGCGGCGCCATCGCCCAGGAGATCCCCTGGCGGTGGATCTTCTACATCAACCTGCCGTTCTGCGGTCTGGGGCTGGTCATGGTCCCGCTGACGGTGCGGCTGCGCGCCGAGCGGCCGAGCATCCTGCAGCGGCTGGGGTGCATCGACTGGGTCGGCGGGGTGCTGTTCATCGGCAGTCTGTGCAGCTTTCTGATCGGCATCACCTGGGGCGGGAACCAGTTCCGCTGGGATAGCTGGCGCACGATCGTGCCCATCGTTGTGGGCGGGGTGGGCTGCGTGGTGGCGCTGCTGTGGGAGGCGTACGGCGCGAGACGTCCGTTCATTCATCTCCAGTTGTTCGCGAGTGTCTCCGCCGCGCTGGCGTATCTCTGCGCGTGTTTGCAGGGTGCTCTCGTTCGTGGCCCTGGTCGCCCCCCCCCTCATTGAGTTGTATACTGACTGATCCCCCGCAACAGATGCTAGGCCTCCTCTACTTCATCCCCCTCTGCCTCCAGACGGTCAAACACTTCTCCCCGATCACCAGCGGCCTCGCCCTGATGGTCATCCTCGGGGTGATGCTGCCCGCCAGCGTCGTGACCGGCGCCCTGCTCACGCGCCTGGGCTCCTACCGCTGGGCCATCTGGTCCGGCTGGCTGCTCTGCACCCTCGCCATCGCCCTGCTCACCCTCCTCGACACCAAGATCTTGGCCGTGCGCTGGGTCTTCATTTTCCTCACCCTCGGCACCGGTCAAGGACTGATCCTGACCTCGCAGAACTTCGCCGTCCAGGCACTAGCGAAAGATAATCGCGATGCGTCGGCGGCGGGGCTGTACACCTTCATGCGGTCGCTGGGGATGTGCATTGGCGTTGCGGTGGCGGGGACGTTCTTCCAGAATCGGTTGGCGGAGAGGCTGGGGAACGCTGGGTTGGATAGGCGGGTTGCGCGGATGGCGGCGGAGTTTGCGTTGGTCTTGAGGAGTAAGGAGGGTGGGTTGGCGGAGGGGGTTAAGGCGGCGTATGTTGGTGTGTTTCGTGAGGCGTTTCGCGATCTCTGGATCTTCTTTGCGGCTGTCTCGGGGTTGAGCTTCTTGCTGGCGCTGGGGATCGGGCATGTCAGTATGGATCGCGCGTTGGAGTCGGAGCATACGCTTGTTGGTGAGCGGGGGGAGGTGGAGGTGCAGGTGCAGGGAGAGGGGGAGAAGACGGGGGTTTGACGTTATTGAGTATGTTGGTGGGCTACAAAGGGTACGAGAGCAAGATCTAGGAGGGATGAAACCGTATATTCAAGATTCATCAGGGTTGGGTTTTGCTTGCCCTACTTCGATGCCCTCTAAAGTCCAGCATGCGACATTCATGTAGGTCTTACTCGAGCTGGGTGTCGTGCCGTGTGAGAGTACATGCTTCATTGATAATGAGTCTGCCAACGGGTGCATAAATATTCAAGACACAATAATCTCCATCCAGAACCCATCTTCGGTGGCAACAGATGGCGCGTCGTGATCTCGGACATCTGCCGATTGCCCTCCGGTCGACATAATCTACCTGCAGCATTGCGTGCTCGATCTTATCTATCGGCCGACTGAGGGCAGAACAGAGTATAATTCGTATCTAGAATCAAGCGCTAGTCTTCCCGCACCGCTTGGCAGATGCGATAACCAGACATCGCGATTAAATTGGGTCCTGACGTGCTTCCATTGCTTCACTGACACACTTTATATAGCAGCGCCAGCTGCAATGGATAGACATGTCTTGTGGAGTGGAACAACGACAACGCAACCATGGCTTTCACCCGGTTGGTAGCATTCTACCGCTCCTGTCTCTTTCAGATCATCATCGTGGGCCTGGTCGCATTCTGCGAGCCGGGCATCTGGACTGCTTTGAACAATCTTGGAGCGGGGGGGAATGCTAGTGTACGTTGCCTACCTCTCTTCTTCCAGATACTCGTTGCTAATCAACCTCCAGCCCTTCCTCAACAACGCCGCCAATGCCCTAACATACGGCCTCATGTCCGTGGGCTGCTTCCTCGCCGGCGGCGTCACCAACAAGATCACCGCCAAATGGACCCTCTTCATCGGCGCCGCCTTCTACACCCCGTACGCCGCGGCACTGTACTGCAACAACCGCTACGGCAACGAGTGGTTCCTGCTCCTCGGGGCTGCGCTGTGTGGCATCGGAGCCTCGCTTCTGTGGGCAAGTGAAGCTGCCATCGCAGTCGGCTACCCCGAAGAAGAAAAGCGAGGACGGTACGTCACCCTTCCCTCTTCCCCCAACCACCGCATCGACTTATACTCCCGGTAGATACGTTGGAATCTGGATGGGGATCCGGCAGATGGGCCCCCTAGTTGGCGGGGCGATCTCCCTGGCGCTGAACATCAACACCGCCCACGCCGGCAAGGTGACCTACACCACCTACCTAGGGCTGGTCGCCATTTCATCTCTGGGCGCGCCCTTCGCGCTGCTCCTCTCGCAGCCCCAGCAGGTAGTCCGCAGCAACGGCACCCCGATCCCCTACATGCGGCGCACAAGCCTGAAGATCGAAGCCCGCGCCATCTGGAAGCAGCTGCACAATAAGTACATGCTCCTGCTGATCCCGATCTTCCTGGCTGGACAGTTCGGGACAACCTACCAGGGCAACTATCTCACCAGTACGCCTCCCTCCACTCCTCCCCCCCCCCCCCCTCTCACATCAGAGAACCGGACTAACGTCAGAAAAGCATACTTCACCGTCCGCTCCCGCGCCCTAGCCTCCTTCCTAACCGCCGTCGTCGGCGCCGCCGCCAACCTCCTGACGGGCTTCATCCTCGACCTGCCCTCCTTGTCCCGCCAAGCCCGCTCGAGAGGCGTCTACATCTTTGTGTCAGTCTTCGTCACGGCAGCCTGGACCTGGAACGCGATCGTGCAGACCCGCCTGGCGCGCATGGCCGACCCGCCCACGTTCGATCTGGGCGACGGCGCCTTCTTCAACTCCGCCTTCACGGTGTACATGTTCTTCAAGTTCTTCTACGAGGTGCTGCAGACGTATATCTACTGGCTGATGGCGGAGATCAAGGGCGCGAGCGGGGACGGGGACGTCGCGCGCACGACGGGCATCCTGCGCTCGTGGGAGTCGATTGGCAGCACTATTGCTTACGCGGTGGGCGCGACGCATTGGCCGAATGAGAAGCAGATGGTGCTTGGGTTTGTGCTGTGGGGGGTGACGGTGCCGTTTACGGTTTTGGCGGTGTTTGGGGAGTGGGATGTGGGTGGTGGGGAAGAGGGGGATGCGGAGGGGCAGGAACGAAGTGGGAGGAGTAGTAGGGTTAGTGTGGAGGCCCAGGGGGTGGTGGTTGGTGTTGATGGGAAGTGCTGAGATGGTGTTCGGGAGATGCATATGGAACGAAGGTCAGCTTGTACTGATGTAAAATCCTAGTTACGGTCACGTCTGGTCTGTTCCTCAGCTCCATTGTCCAGGCTTGACTACTTCAAACTCTTCAGTGTCAAGTCCACCTCCTCCCGCACTTAAGATATGCTGAGGCGGGTATTAAGGCACCCACCCAATGCTCTTCCCTCGTTCGACGGTATGTGTACACCTTGCAAACGAGATCTTTGGTGTCGAAACTAAAGCAGAGGCAGAGACTCAGAAAGTGCCTGAATGAAACCCTCCTGGTTCTCGAATTTGTCGCAGTCGATCATGAAATAGACGATTGCGATCTCGTTTTCGATAATCGCGGTGCGAATGGCTGTTTGGCTGTACGCGTCGAACCGCAGGGGCTCCGCACCATACCGTCGACAGGCTTCACCCTGTGCATCTGTCTTGACCAGAGCAAAGCTTTCGTTGAGGCCGGGCAACTGCAGAGTTGATAGTCGAGCGATGAATGTCCCTCCCAGGTAGCCCGACACTCCAGTAATTAAGACGTTGTGGGACATTGCGGAGCGATTATGTAACAAGCTCTAATGTATGTGTAAACATAGCTGTAGGGAATATTCATTCAAGTGCAGAAGAATAGACTGACTCTGCTAGGCCCTCTTGATCTTCATCGAGTCATGGTCTGTGGGCGCCGGTTAGTCAGTGGGCCCGGGTGCAGGGTTTCATTCAGTCCAGGGCTTCCGAGAGGCTAAAGTATCATGGGAGGGTCCACTCGTTCATCCCTTGTAAGGTATCCAGTAAACTTCCCAAATCGGTAGATAATGATCTAAGCATCTATCATGGATACCATACACATGGAGTATCCCACCTTCGAGTTCCCTGTGACGGACAGACTCAAATCGCCCCCTCCAGCTAGCGCGAGACAGTTGTCTTATCGGCGGTTGACGGGGTTGACCATACAGGATAGGTTATCATATTGCTCACAGCTGGGTATACCTGTACTACGTGTGCGTCAATGTCTCATCACAATCTACAGCTTGCGCGCCAAAGCAATGCAGCTGAATCGAAGACTCTCCACTTCTCCGTCCTTGTCCAACTGGATGATCCTCCTGATACCCATGTCAAGGGCTCGTGGACTGAGAACGTCCTCATCATCAGCCAGGCTTCCTCTCTCCAAAGGACCCTTCCGCGATCCTTCCAGCTCCCAGAGCTTCCCACCGCTCTTGACGAACCCCACAAAATGGCCCCCACTGCGCCCATCGGTCGGATCTGCACAGCTGTCGCCGGCCTGCTCGACCGACTTGTGGGCCAGTTCGAATGGCTCGCTGTTGCACAGCATTTCGGCGCGGTGGGTCATATCGAGCGGAATAGCGTCGCTTCGGATGGCCGCGAGATCGGATCAGGCATGATGAAGTCGACAGCTGGACCGTTGATCAGGCAATGGAGCAGACCAATGGAGCCGCAGGCGTTGCCGATGGTCTGCTTGAACCAGATGACTGGCTCGTCCGGACCAGAGCCCGTGTATGGCTCTGTGTTGGCGTCTTCGGCCTTGCGACTTCGGTCCCAAGCTGGGGTAAGTGGGATGATGACCAGCAGAGCCAGCGCAGGTCGAGGGATGTGTGCGAGCTGTTCGGGCTCGTCCAGGGAATAGATGTCATAAAATTGGAGCTCGGGCGACAGACCCAGCTTGGCTGCCATTTGATTCATTACATCGGGGCTGTTCTCTGTTATTCTAATGTGATGAGGTTCTACTCCAAGACAAGGGGACTATAGCGGCTTAGGCTCCTTACCCAGCATTGACCATGTCTTCTTCTCCATTTTGGAAAAGTCGATGTATAGATGGGAATATTCGGAGGGAGAAAGGAGACGGTGTGGAGAGACAGTGGGACCTTACTCGACAGGGTCGCGAGACGAAAGGTTAAGATCCCAGGTAATGTGGGGAAGAAATATTTCGGTGTTGATGGATGCTGTAGCCTTGTAGCCTACGGGGATGCCTGACCCCGCGCTTATTTTCGAGCATATTGCCCTCTGAGACCGCCTGCTGCAAGGGTCCGACCTCGCTTAGTTATTATCGAGATTGGTTCAGTGATGCTACAGTGATGCTGTTCTGATTAGTTCACATTTTGATTGACTATAAACTTGCCTTAAGAAACCCTGGTTCTATCGGACGGGATTGATTATAGTATTCCCCTAGTAGAACCGGTCATTCCGCCAAGTGGCTGGTGCATCATCGTAGTATATTGGATACTGCATTGCACTTCACGGCACTCCAAAGATGAGGCAAGCTTGCGACCGATCAACGACAAAATATAAACATATGCAGAACACAAGCACGCATTCGACACGGTCAACAACCTCCGGGACCGGTCTCAGGAGTTCCTTTGCCGAGATTGTGGATATCCCGGTCGAGCGGGTGGGGCTGCAACGTCTGCGTGATAGCTTGAGAAATTATTATACGCCCAGACACGCGATTGAAAGTCAGAATGCAATCGTACAATCGCGAGATGGTCTAGTTCGGTATTGAATACACGAACAAAGTCTAGAAAGGAGGTTTTGGAGAGGAAGAACGACTAGAAGCAGGAGCAAAAAGTCATGACCTACGCAGGGCTCGAACCTGCAATCTCTTGATTCGTAGTCAAGCGCCTTACCATTGGGCCAGCAGGCCAGCTGTTGATGATTGGCCCCTAGTAAATCATTATGCTGTCAAAGAATGCCTTATCGTGTTTCTACGCTTTGAGTGACCAAAGCAATATTGAACCTACAGAGCTGAAGGTCATGAAGATAGACATTGCATTGTGGGTGACAGCCCTTACACAGTATGGCTTGCGGCATTAAACCTTACGAACAAAACATAGCAATGCCTACTTATGTCTCTGGCTACTGATTGGCTCGTAAGTCTCACGATTCCAACAGTTTATCCTTTCCCTGATCAAACAGCTATCCATGTTGGGTGGTTCATATAGCAAGTCCGACCTCGGTGAGGACGGGCGAAACCTGGATGCTGAGAACGACCCTGCTCATTCTCATTAGCACAGTGACTCTACGAATGAATTCGCTCAGTGTAGTAGAGCGGTCCACTTACCTTATATCCTGCCTTTAACGCGGCTGTCCGCGTGGCCGGGTGTAGACACCACCACCGCCGTTCCTAGTCCCGAGAGAGGATTGTTAGCCTAAACTTGCATCGACACCTATACAGGTGAAAAGTATACACTCGTCTCACTCCCCCACAGAAAGAATAAGAAAAAAAAAGACAATAAAAGCAAGCAAGAATAGGAGAAAGAAGACGGCATGGACGTACTGGTGAGCAATACAATATCCAGTGTTCCGCTGGATCACAGTGCCGCAGGTACAGCCGTTGCCGTTGTTGACACTGCACCCACAATCGTACGAGGTCTTGCACATCGCGATAGACTCTTCACTTGCTGATCTTTGGAGATAAAGAATAGAATAAGTGATGGTCAGAGAATGTGCAATACCGTAGAGGGCGGGATTGTGTTTGCAGAAGAAGATGAGATGTCCAGTTGAGGAGCGATATATGTAGTTCTCATCCCATCGCAAGGCTGTAGATGACATCTATCAGATGATGGCCGCCTCGTATTACATGGCGGAGAGGATTGGTGGCGCGGCCACAGCCAAGCTTCCTGCCCGCACCCGGGCCACGAGGCTGACCGACGGCTGCTGCCAGGTGATCGATAAGGCAGAGGGGCTGCATGAGTTGCGAGGCTCCGTAGATTGAATGGCGCTCGTGTGTCAAGGCTGTAGCCTGGTCATTCCGGTAGCTTCGCCAGGGCAATTCCTTCGGGTGTACGGGTCATAAACCCACAGTCTGAGGGTAATTGATGCGGTAGCATTACTTTGAATTTACCATCAGACGCCCGTCCGAACAGAATCCATGCAAATGGGAAATCAAGAGCATTGGCTAGCTGGTATCCTCACTAATGCCGGGCTAAGAACAACTAGTGGTCTAGATTTTAGAGAACAAGGTCTAGTAATATGTGGCATTACAGTTAAGTGACAAATCACTCACGTGCTGCCCTCATATAAATAGCCACGATAGGGTAAGCAACGGTGTGTGCAAAACAGTTCACTTTTATGCATAGGTTAGTCTCAAATATGAGACGGAAGCATAGTATTTCATCTAGCATCTTGATGGACATTGCTAAGGCCATACCCTACATCCTGGTTCCTAGTATACACCCACCCCAGGAAAAGAAGACGAACATGGAAGGTCATGTCCCCTACCTGGTGTACATCGTCCAGACCCATAAAGCCTCGAACACCTAAGCAATCTGACGACGACGCATGCGCTGCTCATCACGACGGCTCTTGGCCAGAGAAATCGTGAGATCGGACGACTGGCCCGTCGCACAGACCGTACCGGGGGCCATATCCTGGGAAGGAGTCCAGACGCCGTTGGCGCAGCGCTGGAAGGAAGCACCGGCGTTGCACCACCAGGATCCCTCGGGGCTGCAGGCGCCGCTCAGAACGCCGGAGAGAGCGGTGTCAGTGGAAGAGCTGGTGGTGGCGGTGGCGGTTGCGGTGGTTGTTACGGCGTTTTGTTGGTGTCCGTTGGGCCGGCCCGCAATCGTTGTCGCAGCGGGGGCGGCAGCGGTGGTGATGGTAGCGGAGTTCTCGACAGACGAGGCCGCAACAGAGGTTTCGACGTCCACGATGGGGATTGTGGCAGTGATATCAGCAGCAGTGGTGGTCGTGGAAGTCACGGACGCAGCCGCCGTCGCAGAGCTGCCTCCCCACGCAGTCGACACTCCAGTGCAGGCGGCCGCATCAGTGGCAGCAAGACGAGAGGCCTCTCCGTCGTACTCGATCACATCACCGGGGTTGGGGAAGCGGATGTCTACGCCCTCGGTCGTGGTGCAGCCGTTGATGTTGGCCACGAAGAGGTCGGGGTAGCTGCTGCGCTTGGCGACGGAGCGCTTCTGGGCTGCGCTCTCCAGGACGGTGATGGGGGCGCAGTTCATGTACATCTCGCGGGCCCCGACGCGGTTGAACCAGGTCCACGCCAGCGTGTAGTTGCCGGCGGAGAAATCGGCTGGGATAGTGAAGTTGAACTGATAGGGGTCCGGGGTCGAGGCGTCACCGTCCAGATTGCCGTCCACGTTGGCCGGACAGCCCCCCTCGAAGGACTTGATCACCTGCCAGACTGTGTCCTTGGAGGGTTGCATGTCCGTGGTCAGACTCACCTGGCAAGAACCGCCGCCGTGGACGGCGATGCCGGTGAAGTTCAAGACCTGAGACACCCCGGTTTCGAAATAGTTCATCTCGTCCGCGGCAGGCCAGTCGTACACCCCGTCGCGTTGCTTGCAGGGGAAGTCGCTGCCATCTGCAGCCAAGGGCGAGTTGTTGAGGGTTGACTTGCCATACGGGACTGGGTGGTTCATGATCATATGTGCCTGGACTATCGAGGCCGAGAGCACCGATGCAGCAACCACACTGGGCTTGGTGAAAAACATGATGATTTCAAAGGATAGAAAGAGACAATGGCCGTAGTGGCAATGAGTCAAAGCAGGTTGAATTGTTCCAGACAATTGACGCAGTGAACGAGCGAGAATGTAAGTCGTTTGCCACAGGCAGAACTTTTACAAGCGAAGGTAAAGAATGACAGCAGGACTAGCCTGGAAGGAACGGAAGAACCAAGATGATTGTCGATGAACGAAGACGACACTGTTCAGAAGTTTGTCTGGTATTTATGCTCTTCGACGGCAAGATAGCCATCTTGCGCTCTTCACATTGAACCATCGGTAGTTCTTTGATATCCCAACAAGTCACGATCTGAAACCTGACATGCTCAGATCGGGAGATCCTGCAGAAGCTAAGCGAGATCATTGTTGCAGGAGGTAGCGAATCACAGAGGGCGTTTCGCCTTGGGTTGTCGTCACAGCAGTGGTGGCTCTGACTCGTAGTTCTTGGCTTTCCCCAGATATCCCAGATATGAGCGATCGGGATGGGCCGAATCCTGTAACCGAGATGCCGGAACCGCCGGAGGCGTTCGCTTAGACACGCGTGGAGATTGAGGATGCCATCCTGAAACATGAAGAGTGGGTGTGAGGGAAAACTTGATGATGGATCTCATCTTCACCTTGGTCTTAGGAAGTACAATCTATCATTTGCCGCCCCTAGCCGCAACACAGAGCTGATGGTAGGCAACAGGAATTGCTTGGTTCATGCAGATTATGAGGGCATTCACATTTCCCGAATGCCGGGCGTCTCCACGAGTTTGCCAAATCGGGATATTGTCGCTTCGGCCCGCTTTCCTGACTCGTTCCTCGATTGCCAGATTGGAAGACATGATGCTTTTCCAAGGGCCTTCATATATATAAGGTAGTAGTTGTAGTAGTTGTAGTAGTTGTAGTAGTTTTAGTAGTTGTAATAGTAGTAGTAGTCTGTCGAGGAGTGCACGGTAGATCTACTGTAGATCAGATTTGACCATCGATGTTTGAGTTTCTATACGAAAACCATGTAGGTACTCCAGAGTACACTTACTATTTACGACAAGGATCGGCAAGCCAGAGGAGCGGAAGAACACTTGGCATTAAGTTCTTCTGCTTGAATGGAAGCTGTCACACTCCATCATCAATCAGGGGTCCCAATAGCTTCGCAAGTATCAAGCTTTGAGTGGTCTTGCAGACGGAAGTAACGTTGCCGGAGATTTCCACACCCCGAAATAGCTCACACCTCGAGTCTGCGCGTGCAGAATTTACCATATACCTTGATCGACAGAAGGTGATGAGTCGGAGCACGAAATGTCTACTGCAGCGATGCCAGTCACTTAGCGATGAGCATCGTGATCGGCATCATATCATGAGTCCTACCCAAAGCTATCTGAATTTAGGTTCCTGTGCTGTAGATCGGTCGTGATAATCGTCAGTCATGCCAGGTGCGGGCAAGCATAAATTCAAGATGCTCCCGTCTCTTCTTCTTCACTCTGGTCGAACTTCAAACATCATCGCTCACAATCATCCTCCTCGACTTCCACAGCTCTGGAGCCCACCGAGATGCGCATCACAGCCATCATTCCCTTTCTGGCGCTAGCCTCCCACCCACTCACAGCATGTGCTCAACGTTTAACAGGTAAAGTTGTGCTGGGAGCTGGACCAATACGCCGCGATACCGACAATCAGTACTGCTGTGTCGGTGTCGATGGCCCTGGCACCGCCGCCTACAAATACGTGGAGCAGTACAAAGACCCGAGCCCTGCCGTTGGGATCAATTGTGAGTTATACTCCTTTCCTGTGGCATTGAGTAGACTTGACGCGAGAAATCTGCCGCCCGCCTCCACATCCCCCTATGTGCGCCAGCTGCTGACTCCGATGAATAGAACCAAAGGCCGCAGCTCCACGAAGGGGCTATGCGATGACGGTGCACCCAACCTTGTCTCCTGCACGGACAGCTTCGGCGTATGAATTCTCCTCCCCGCAGACCTTGCCGAATAACCAGGAACTCCCGTACTGACAGGTGATTTGATGTACTCTACAGACATTCGAAGTTGGTTGCACGAAACTGTAACCTGGGCAGAGCTTATAAAAGTTCGGGTTCGTCGAACACCAGCAGTCGGGGTCGAGTTGATGGGGTCTTGGTCCCACTGGTGCTGTCCAAGCATCATTTGTGTGAATTTGGTGGGATTGACATCTTTGGCTGGAATTCCCAAAGAGGCCTTTTTCTTTCCACCTTGTTTCCTCGATATAAAGGAACCGCTTCCGTGTTCGAGATCAGCGGAGAAGCGAGTTACAATAACTGCAGACCTTGGAATTAGTTACCATCAGTTCAGTCCACGAACGAATTCCCAAAACCTACCTGTTGCATTATCGAGGGACCTGCTCGCGAGTCCGGAGCCCTGACCGGAAACATACATGTCAGATGAGACGATACGGGGCCTCAGTTACATTCCAAGAGCCAAGCGCCGGATCCTATTACCACCACCTATACCTCGCATTGTTGGGGGCCGGCAGTTGCAAGGGATGATCGCTGGAATATGCATGTATATTGCAGCGATTTTAATGGTTAGCTTATCAAGACGATCAAGGTTAAGGTCGACCTTATCCCACTTGCTTCTTCTATGGCTGGTGGTGTAGATCGGTCATAATCGCGGGCACCAGCAGACACAGTCTCGAGACACCCACCCATTTCAACTTCTGTCGGTGTCCTCAAACCTCACGCTATCTTTGAGTTCACTTCCAAACAACCTTCTCAGCTCCCCAGTTTTTAGCCTATTGCGATGCGTGTTACAGCTATCCTCCCTTCCTGGCACTAGCCTCCCACCCACTCACAGCAGTGGCCCAAACTACAGTAGAGGATCTCCTAGATGCACTGGACAATTTGCTCGGGCGCACGACTTACAATTCAGCCAGCCAGTACTGCTGCAATTTCCTCCGAACGGGGATTGGGACTCTTGGCGAATGAAAGGGAAAGTGATGGTGTCTGTTTTGTTGAAGGTGCGACAAGAAGGAACCCTCATACTTCATAACCCCATACATACCCCTAGTACTTGGTGCCTCACCTTTCTGATCGGAGATCCTGTGGGATCGTTATTGGTATATGATGAGTCCGAAGACGAATGCCTTATTCGAGGACTATCTGTCGATCATCGCGATGATCCTCTAGGTTATGATCGGCGTCACACCAGCTGTTCTAGCACTGATTGTCAGAAATCGAGCTCGGGTTCTGGAGATCCGTCACAAAGATCATCAACCATAGCCGTCCGTCAGCGAAGATAAATTCCCAGACACTCCCCATGCGTCCCTCTCCAGTCTTCCCAACACCCCATCAAACTTTCTCTTACCTCCTCGACTTCCACAAGAGCCTAGCCCACCACAATGCGTGTCACTGCCATCCTTCCCTTTCTGGCGCTCGCCTTCCACCCGCTCACGGCGTTCGCCCAAGGAGGTGCCGTAGGCGATATCGCAGAGGAAGTTGAGGCAACACTTGGGCTCAGAGCAGAATCGAGCTGCGACCCCGACGATCTGTACTGCTGCATCTACGACGGCCCTGGCACCGATTATTATACCAAGGTGCAGGAATACACCGACCCGGGCGCTGGCGTCGGATCCAACTGTGAGCCTGCCGCGTGCCCCTGTGCCTTCCAAGTCTCACCCAGCCATCCCTTTGGGCTGGGCACATTCCGCCGGTGCAGCATAGTGTTGACCCAGACAAATGAATTTAGGTGACCTCCCTGATGAGGAAACGGGCCAATGCAACTCCAAGGCACGCACACTTGTCTGCTGTCCGGACAGCTTTGGGGTATGGAATTCTTCGCCCTCCCTGCTAGAGGAACCCTTGTGCTAACACGCCTTTGAATTTGCAGCAAGACAAAATTGATTGCACGCAGCAGTGATGCGAGCAGGTAATCTGTGGTCGTTGGACCAGAAATATGGAAATCAGTGGAAGCCCGGAGTTTTGTTGGGATAGTGAATTGATGGGCGAGTCGACATGATCGCAGCATGTTGGATGTAGAATACTGTAATAATTGGAAAGCATCTCGATCGACAATCGTTTTGGGAGAACCCTAGATCTTCCCAGCCATCCAATCTTTCCAGGCACATTGTGCTGAGACACCTGTTCGTCCCAGTCAGCAGAGAAGTAAGCGAATGCAAGAGCGGACCCTGGAAGGGCAGGCTAGCGGGCTAGTCCGTGAAGAACGCATCGAGCCGAGCGGGGGCTGACGTGGGCGGGTTCTTCAGGCGGCCTATCTCGTTTATATACGGAATTTCATAGACGGGGCTTCTTCATTCTTGCGCAGTCTCATTATACTGAGTATACTGGGCTTGACCTGTATGAAAGTGGTTGCAAACCCCCCGTCCCAAAGATCTGCTCTCATAGGAACTCATCAGATTCGGGTACATCACGGTACCTTTCCTTGCTTACAGTAAACACCACGACTCATGTGGCGCTTGTGGAGGCTCAGCGCCGCAAAAACGGAGTCTTAGCTCGCACACCAGAGCGGCCGGTGATTGGGTGCGGGAACTTATAAGCAGCCACAAATACCCTTCCGGGATAGAGCTGACAGCTGCGTAGAGAACCATGTGGGGCCTCGACCTCAGTTCACTAATCACCAAATATACGTAAGCCATCTCTAGTCATGCAGCGAATCAAGCAGCTGTCTGGGCGAGGTTCGGAGTTTTAGATCGAAAACTTCAGCACTCATCGGGCTCCGAGAAGCTATGCAGAGCTGAAGAACACGCCGTCATCGGAGAAATAACCCTCAGGCTGGAGAACAACCCTACGGGGCCTGGGCTATAAAAGGAGAGTCCAGCTCCACCTCAGAGAACAGATACAAAACTCACCAAGCTCTCCATCCTCTCCACAGCCAACCCTCTTGTACAGCCCGCACTCGCAAGTACACCCTCTACAAAATGAAGCTCACCGTGTCCAAGGTCAGTTGCCCCGTGGAGCCCACGACATCTACAACCACCGCGCAATCAACACTAACCAAACCGTGCAGACTCTTGCCCTCCTCTCCGCCACCGCCGCCACGGCCACGGCCCTGGCGGAGGTCTCCATCGACTTCTACCTGTTCAACACCACCTGCTCCTTGGACAAGCCCACCACCTACACCCTCCTGGAGAACTCCTGCTTCGGCATCGAGGGCTGGCCCTGGGGCTCTCTGGCCCCCTACCTCGCCGACGGCACCACCTGCAGCGATGCCACCAAGACGCCTGTGCTGTACACCTGGACCGACTACAACGAGCAGGACTACGACAACTGCGGTTCCACCCTCTACGCTACCTACGACGTCACCGACGAGCACACCTGCTACCCCGTGGACGCGGAGTATCTCCAGCGGCTGCAGGTCAAGTGCGAGTAGCGGGTTCGATGGAGGTTTCCAGGATGCATGTATATAAGTAGTGGGACAAGCACGGCTAGTGAATCGGGCAGGAATTCAGAAGCCGGAACTGGATGGCTTGGTTTCGTTATTCAAATGTTTCCTCGGGGTTGCTTTCCATTGTTCTGCCCTCTCCCTCCCGGAAGGTGGCCTTACGTAAGCACCAATCCATTCGTAGATTACCAGGATCAGAAAAGCAGACAGCTAGCCGTAGGTAAGCCAAGGTACTTCTAGTCTTTCTCGACGCGGCGATCTGGCTAGTTACTGCCAGGGCTGGCTGGAAAATTGCCCCTCCCTCGTCTTGCAATGCTTTCCTATCACACCGCTCGGCTTACGTGCACTGGACTAGGCAAAAGATGAGAAGCATTCGTTGTAGCGTGTGTGAGAACTATAGAACCTATATTTGTCGCACTAGGGAAAGACGAACCTGCATTGGGGCTGCAAAGGACTGCTGCGTATGGACGTGGAACTCGGGAACAGATCGCATTGGGGTTGTCGCACGGGGTCAAGTCGTCGGTCGGTTCGATGTCGCGTTGGGTGATAATTCAAACAAACTCCTGATACACGTTTGGCGCATGGGCAAAATATCAAGCAGTCGCGGTCTTCGCCAGCACCACCAGCCGCGCCTTGTCCCATCCCTTCCGGTAGTCGGTGAGCTCGATACTGACTACTCGCACCAGGCCCTCGGCCACCAGCCTCTCGATCTCCGCGTCAAACCCCATGGACACCCACACCTCGTCCAAGATGGTCGCCACAACCAGCCCGTCTGTCTTCAGGATGCGGATGAACTCGCGGAGCGCGGGGTCCGGCCCCACGTGGCCGTGGGTGAAGGTGCCGGCGCAGGTCACGATGTCGTAGGTCTCGGCGGGCAGGGCGATTGGTTGCGTGAGATCGGCTTTGGTGAGGGTGCGATACACCCCGGTGTTGGCGGCGACCGCCAGCATCGCAGGCGATAAGTCTAGGCCGTCGATGGTTAGTGATGTTGCATGGCCGGCGCCTCGGGTCAGGCCCTCGCCGACGAGGCCGGTGCCGCAGCCCGCGTCGAGGATGCGCGCGTTCGGGATCTTGGTGAGCTGGAGTGCGGCTTGCGCGACGGTGAACGGGGCGACGTAGCTCTGGGAGGCATCGGTGAGGTCCTGGTTGTAGGAGGTTGCCCAGGTGTCGTAGAGCGCCATGCAGTCTTCCTTGCTGCCGCTGGCGCGGGCCTTGACGAGTAGGGCGTTTTCGACCTGGACTTGGGTTGCCATCGTTATAGCTGAGGTGGTGTGTGGTTTGCAAAGAGAACAGTAGGCTGTGGAAAGAGATGGGGATTGCTTGGGGGTAATCCTTGGTCTCTCGAGACTTGATTTAAATACGGTGCTGCCCCTCAAGTTAGGAACCTGCATAAATCTGCCCATGCGCGACATGCGAGAGAAGGAGGGGAACACTCTAATAAGCGCGGTCAAGATATCAAAGATCCAATAGCAACCACGAACAGGCCCCTGAGATGCTGTGCATCTACCGGCAGAGTGGGAACTACAGCGAACAATGGCATTTTCAAGAGGGGTTCAAGGCGGGGGATCAAGGCATTGACCTCCGATCGCCATTGTGCTGCATCATGCCAAGGCTTTTGTGCCTCTTGAAATCTCTTATAGCGCGATCTTACCCCGCGACCGCGCAAGATTCAATCCACTTGTCTTTTCTACCGGGCTACACAGAGGATACATGTGTAAGTCGGCAGATGCGCGTCCAAGCGCATTGTCACTGTTGGTTGGGGCATTGTAGCCCGCGCAATGTGCTTGTGGCTGGTCACTTTTCCTGTATAGGGCGTGGTGCAGGAGCAAGGTTTTATATGTTCCAAGGGAATGACGAAAGCGACCTCTGCACCGCACCAGAGGCTTGAAGATTTGTGATGGTCTGCTCAATCAAAGCTCAAAGCGTCCTGCAACAAGAAAAAAAAAAAAGAGCCAATTTAGTAGGCTGTAGCCTATTTCAGGTACCAACCGGCAATCTGACATGAGCATGGCGGGGTACTGACCGTTGATTAGCTCCGGTATTCTAGGCTACACAATCCTTCCCAGGGCACACTACACCAAGCAGGAGTCATCTGTTGATAATATAAAATGACCAAGGATACCAGATATCCTATACATAACATCTCGTCCGCACGGAGTACCTCAATCTGTGCATCCACTGTGCATCCACTAATTTGACACCTCCTCCTCAGCAATGGCAGAGACCGAAAGGGACGCAGACGCAACCATGCGCCACGCCATCACCCAATTCCGCCACAAAATGGAAACCGCCAACCGCCGCTTCCTCCAGGACCGAGTCACCGAGATCGAAGCCCTGCACCTTCCCACCGAAGCCGCCAAGCTGCAGCGGATGCGCGACTACTGGGACAATCTGGGCATCGGCGGGCCGGACCCGCACTGGAACCAGCTCGTCTCGCCCGGACCCGTCCGCGAAGACCGCGAGGTCCGCGGCGTGACGTCTCTGGCGGAGGTGCCGTCGCTGTACCACCAGTACATGGACGGGGTGTGTCCCCCGCGCCTGCGGACGGAGGCGTGGCGGCAGATGTATCTGGAGACGTTCCACGAGGTGTGCTCCGCGGCGGTGGCGGATGACGGCCAAGCCCAGGAGGCGGAGGCGATCCCGCGGTGTGAGGAGTTAGTGCTCTTCCTGAAGTACGCGAACGGGGTCTGCGATCCGGATTTCCGGCGTCTGGGGATCGCGCCTTTTGTGCCGGGGTTCTACATTGGGGTGCCTGAGTATGCGTTTGTAGAGGAGGGAGCGGAGCGGGAGGTGGAGGGTTTCAGAGATTTGGAGGCGCAGCGGGAGGCGCTGAGAGGGTACTTGGAGGATAGTCTCCTCGGTCAGGTGGGGCTCCATGGGACGATTGATGATGATCTGGAGGTCAAGGTTGGGTTTCTGACAGGGGGTGGTGGTTGGATGCATGAGGATCGGTGGTACAGTGCTTACGCGTACTGTCGGGTGATCGGGGAGGATGGTACGGACTCCGCGTATGGGCATTGGGCGTGGCGGGTGGTTTTCTTCGAGGCGAGCGAGGAGAACTCCGCGACGCTGTACGGGCGCAGACCCTTGTTTGATTCGATTCCGGAATTCTTGGAGTGGTATAGTAGCTGGCCGGATTATGTGGACATGCGCCAGGTTCGACGGAATGTTCTGGGGGACTACACTTGAAGCGACGATGATTGTGGTTGTTGCTAGGGTTGGTTTTTTACTACGCGGTATCTGCATTGTAAACACGTAGGTATACGGAGTAGCTATAGTGGCTCACGGCATGAGAGTGGAACGGTCAATCTATTTCTGAATGAGGGGTTTTGTTCGCATTGGATCAAGCATTTTGTGAGATTCCACTGACATTAATCTAGACTTTTAGCCTAATCTCATCCATAGGCGAGCTGCACACCAAGAATTCTCCCGTAAACGCTAAATTTGTAGGACAAAGCCGTCCGTACCAGCAATTCATATGGTGCCGTGATTGCGGTGGCTCTCACCCCCCTGTCAGACCCGCAATTCCCCCGTCGGATGTGATGTTCCGCCCACCCAAGCGAACATTGGCCCTTGCTAGGGTATGCTTGCAACTCCACCATATATTGTGAACAGGTTTCACATGCACCGGTCACTTAATGAGTACGTGGGTCATCTCATCCATATTGATTCCCGTCTATCCTGTTTAAGCGAGTCAGACCCTTGCCTTCACTCCCGCGAAGTGACTGAAGCAAACAAAGGTTATCTGTCGGTGAGTCGCAAACCTCATCTCCGACCTCTGACTAAAAGTGGTTTAATCTCGGATAGAAGCAAGATTCTTTGTTGCTGAGCATGACCCCTTCCACTGCTTGGCTGTCGTCTATGAGTCTTACCTCCCTGGGGCTAGGGCAAACTTCTCAAACGCCCTAGCCGGGATACCGAGGCCCTTGAATCCATTCCTCCAGTAACGTGACACGGATATAGAATAAACAAAGGAAATTTGATATTGGAAGAAGTGTCTACAAGAGAAATGGAGGGACCAAAGGAGAGAAGACACAACACGCAAGGATTCAAGAAGTCTACACCATCCCCGGCCCCGGCCGATCGAACCCCCGACCCTGCGATGCAGCCGCCGAGCGACTCCGCCCCGCCTGGGCTTGCATCGAATGTGACACGGTCACCTCTGTCGTCAACATGATTGTGTCATGCTCATGCGGCGAGAGGATGTATTCCTCGCTCGAGTTATCGCTGCTGTCGTGCCCCGGGAACGAGGTCGCCGTGGCGGTGGTTGTGGTGGTGGTTGCCGTCGCTTTCTTGGGGAAGGGCTCGGGGTCGTGGTGGCTGGCTTGGGTCTGCGACTGGCCGTGCTGCTGCGAGCGGGACATGGAGCGCAGACGGTAGGCCTTGCTGCCGTATGTGTTATGCTGGGGGTAGTTGTAGGGTCGCGATTTGTAGCGTGAGCCGTAGCTGCCCAGCACTTGCTTAAAGAGGGGTTTCAAGGTCGGGAGGCTGCCAGCCACGATGCCCATGTTGGATTCGACACTTCGCAGGGGGGTATTGTTAGCGTATGAGGAGGATTGACGTGCAGGGTATTGAAGGGGGACGTACACAACCCAGATCGTGAGAGTAGAATAATCCCAGAGGAAGTCGCCCGTGCGACCGTAGTTGGGAAGCACGGTGAGCTTCACGATCGCTGCGGCGCAGGCACTGTACACACGATTGGATCTGATTAGCCCATCGCTGCTATACTATTGATAAGGGATGTTTGCAGTCTTACAAGATACCCAATCCCAGGATGCAGATCAACGAAGCCTTGGTTCGCTTGTTGACTTGGAGATGTCTGTCGGGGGGTGGTGTTAGGGCTCCGTCTTTTCCAGCATAGAATCTGATCCGCTAGACTTACCTGAGCATGAAGATAGGGAGAATGGCGAAGATCAAATCAGTCAGGATGTTTAAAGCTAGAGGTTTGTTCAGTAAACGACAAGCAAGATCCCCCGCTTAACATGCGTACCTGTATTCGTATAACTCAGTTTCAACAGCTGTATCGGGGCAAAGCATTTCGACTTGACCGAGAAATCCCAAATACTCCGCATGTCATGGCATTGGAAAATGAGTGTCTGTCAGGAGTCAGCTTCACATTGTCATCTGCAAAACCAGCACCACGTACGAAGAAACAGATTGTGGTGTAAATGAGCATCAGAGCTGTATGTCGTCAGTTGGATAAGAGCTAGAACATAGTGGAAACAGCACTGACCGATGACAACCCAGATGAAAATGCGATAGCCCTTGCGCGGTGCAAATCGTAGCAGGAACAGTCCGATGGAGATCTTGACGAGTCCAATAGCCCACATGTATATCGCCTGGGTAGCAAAGTTCAGATGCATCGCTTTGGTAGCTGTCTTTTCGACGTAGGCCGTATGTCGACCCGCGCCGTAGATGACTTCTGGAATGATGATTCCCCATCCGCTGAGGGACTGATGGCCGCAATGTTAGTACAGTACTGCAGATACCACCCGGCTAGACAGAGATGACCCGAGTGACTTACCAAGATCATGGTCAGCAGCATGGTATAATCCTCGAGGTTGGTCAGCACAATCCAATTCGGTATAAACGAGGCAGAAGACAACACTTACATCAAACCCCACATTGCGGATGAGGAAAACGCGGACATACATGCGGGCGAGCACAGTGATTGCAGCCCCAGCAGTCACAATGCTGGTGGCCGCCAGGATGCGTGGCCCTTGATTATCATCAGGAAGGCCCGCGCCGCCCGGATGCGCGATGGTCGACATGCTCAGCACAGAAAAACGAAGGACTGGGCTGAGCTGAGTTAGCTAGCTATTTCCTGGGCGATGCTTGACCTTGGCCAGGTTATGAATATCCAGGAGCAGACAGAGCTGGTGTGACGACCATGCCAAGGATAGGTGCATGAACTACGGGTCCGCCATGCGACCATGGAAGAGTCAGGAACACGAGGATCAAGATCCCTCAGGATGAATAGCTGCATTCGCTTGACTAAAGAATTCGATCATCGCAGGATCCATCTCACCAAAAATGGGCGTCCGGTCGCGACCGGATTTCCAGAGCCAACGGTTGACCGTTCGATCTCGGGCGACGATCAGGATCCGGTAGCAGACCCTGGACGGTGGCCATCTGATAGTTGGCAGGAATACTCCGTACACCACCCAAGTTGGTGCCTGCACCGATGCTTCTTTCTGGCCCTTGTCATTCATTTACTCTTCCTATCCTAGTCCCCAACCACATAGTTCAAGCCACGACTGACGAACCAAAAACCTGGCCAATGGACCGTGCGCCTAAGGGAGGGCCAGCCAGCCCAGGGTGGATCGGCCAGTGCCACCGGACCTGCCAAGTCGCTTCAACCTCGGCTTGGGCAGATGATTTGCAGTGTCGCACTCGCACCCTGTACCCCTAAAATTGGGTGGATGGGCAGATTGATTAACTTTTTGGCCGGAGTGGACCCGGGTGGAGTGCAGTGGGGACAGGGACCGAGGATTGACTGGAGAGACGGACGTCAATGAATTTGTGCTGTCGCCGGTTGCATCTCCAACCCTAACCAACCCAGTAATCCAAAAGTGATTCAATCTATAATCCCTGGTTAGTACTCGCCAGTCCGCCTCTCAAATCCCGGTCATCCAAATTAGTTCTCCCCCGAGGCAACACTACATCCTATCCCCTGGCCAAGGCCAGCCAGTCAGCACGTTGTTGCTAATTGACTTTGGTCGCCATGCTGCTGAGTGCGTGGGGGTTGGGTGGGGTGGGGACTTGTGTTCTCTCGTCTTCTCCCTCGGCCCTAACAATTCCGTTCCTTGTCTATCAGGCCGAGTCCTAGTGCAGCATGCAGCTAAGATAGCTCGCTGGGTGGGCCGATCGATGCACTGGCTGTAGATAGCTTGAGATGCGCCGCCGTTAAATTGACAATCATTCCCTCATTCAACCTGCTTCTCCCCGCCCAGCCTCCTTAACTCTAACTTTCTTTTCCTTCTTCCCTCTCTTCTCCCATCTCTTCCTTTTTCCTTCTGCCCAGGAGTGGTGTGACATCTGCCATCGCCACCATGGTCGCCCTTCAGACTCTCACTCTGGGCCTGCTGCTCTCAGGGTCGTGGGCCCTCCCCGCGGCCGAGACAGCAACGGCCACCCTTCCCACGAGTGCCTCCAGCTCGACTGACGTGGCCTCGTCGCAGCTGGATCAGCTGAATTCCTTTGCCTACAACCTCACCACCGACATCCTGTCCACTCCCTCGGGCAGCACCAAGCGCAGCGAGGGCACCTGCACTCTGGACAAGCTGCGCGTGCGTCGTGAGTGGCGCACCTTCTCCAAGTCCCAGAAGAAGGCGTACATCAACTCCGTCCTCTGCCTCCAGAAGCTGCCCTCGCGCACCCCGGCCGACCTGGTCCCCGGGGCGCGCACCCGCTACGATGACTTCGTGGCCACGCACATCAACCAGACCCTGGAAATCCACTACACGGGCACGTTCCTGGCGTGGCACCGCTACTTCATCTACGAGTTCGAGTCCGCCCTGCGCGACGAGTGTGGCTACACTGGCGACTACCCTTACTGGGACTGGGGTGCTGACGCCCACGACATGGAGAACTCACCCGTCTTTGATGGCAGTGAGACCTCCATGTCCGGTAATGGAGCCCCCATCGCCGATCAGCCGGACGTGATGCTCTACCTGGGTGACTACCCGGCCATTGACCTCCCGCCCGGCACCGGCGGCGGCTGCATCACCAGCGGCCCGTTCAAGGACTACAAGGTCAACCTGGGTCCGGCTGTTCTCTCCCTGCCCGGGGGCAACACCTCGATGGCAGCCAACCCGCTGGCCTACAACCCCCGGTGCCTGAAGCGGTCGCTGACCACCGAGATCCTCAGTCGGTACAACACCTACCCCAAGATCGTCTCTCTGATCCTGGACAACGACGACGTCTGGGACTTCGAGATGACGATGCAAGGCATTCCCGGCAGCGGCTCGATTGGTGTCCACGGCGGTGGCCACTACTCCATGGGCGGCGATCCCGGTCGGGACGTCTACGTGAGCCCCGGCGATGTGGCCTTCTGGCACCACCACGGCATGATCGACCGCGTCTGGTGGATCTGGCAGAACCTCGACCGTAAGCACCGCCAGAATGCCATCTCCGGCACGGGCACCTTCATGAACAACCCCCCGTCGGCCAACACTACTCTCGACACTGTCATCGATATTGGTTATGCCAATGGTCAACCCATCGCCATGCGCGACTTGATGAGCACGACTGCTGGGCCTTTCTGCTACGTGTATCTCTGAGGGGACTGTGTGTTGTCTCATGGTTTCGGGTTTCAGAACACCAATCTAGGAGGATTTAGCTGGGAGCTTGTACATATGCATCATAGAGCTGAACTAATGCATTAATGGATTTCTTGGACAGTAGTGCAGTACACAGCATTTGAACACTACTAGGCGAGACACTCAGATTCAGTGAGCCGAGACAGCGAAGTATTAATCAATTTCCCACCCCATTCATTAGGCAACAAGTGCAACCGGTGCCTCACCTCATAACCATTCCTGCCATGATTCAATGGGTGTGATCCTAAATGCCTGAGGCATCCAGCCATCCCGGATCGCCCGGATCGCCCATTCTCCCCACTCCAAGACGAGAATAACACACGCATAGTGTGACCACCACACCGCGTCCACGTATCTAGGAAAGCACCACCCATCCTTATCATGTGGACTGGTCAACTGAGTCCGGACAACGTTGTCTCTTTCCCTCACCGGTGCCGACCACCCCGAGCTGTGTGCGGCTGCCTGGGTGATCGAATCACAGACCCTTGGCGGAGAAATCACTCAGGTGTGGATCCCCGTGAGACCCGCGGAAGCGGAAGTGACCGTTCCAGTCCACGGTCTAGATTTAGCTTGCTGGCCAAGGCGCCTGGTCCCTGGTTAGGAGAATCTGTTTTCGTGCGCTCGACTGGACGGAGGGGTTTTTTTTGGTAAATGCACTGGTCGGAGGGACGATGCCATCCGCCGGAAACCAGATCGATCAGGATTGCGGCAACTTACTAGGGAAATTTCTCTGAATTTCAAGTTTTTGGTGCTGTTATCATATGCTCCCTCTTTATGCTACGAAAATGTACAGCATGTGACTGCGAGAGCGAGGGTCTGCCAATGTTGGGGAATCAGCCCTGCCCGGGTCATGTGACCATCCAGCATGCCTCAGGCATCGACTGGGATTTCCCTCTGAAGTCCCTTCTCCCTTTCACTCGCTCGATCTGCTTTCAATCTCCATCACACACGCCGTATGGGAGGATATGTAATCCGCATGCCTAACTCAAAGCTCGTCAAATCTCCGAAGCTTGGTTTTGAAGTTATTGGTGAATATGTGGAGAAATGTAGCCGTCTTGGAGGAAAGCAATGCTGCTAAGGGATAGTATATACTGTGTTTGCAGGTGAAGATCTCTGGGACTTGGGGGGAGGTGGAGGTTCAGGGACATGCTGCGCAGGAAGAAAACTGATAGCAAAAGTGTGATCTGATAAAGCTAGCTTCAGCTCATGGCCCAGTCGATTGCAGAAGATACGAGGGCCGTTTGCTGTTCGGCAAGGTTGCCCTCGTTGCTCGGCATCCTTGCCCGGGACAATCTGTCAGCCCTGACTCTTTAATCCTTTCGTATACTACCTTAGTACATTTATCTGTTGAAACTACTGCCAGAGAAAAACGATGAATAACTACAACTAATTGACAACTCAATACTGGAATTATAGCCCGACGCACTGTCTTGCGATAGATAGTACTCCGACTATTCCCGGCCGCGGTGGAGCATCGCCAACATTTCCACGGTTTAAACCGCAGTAAAAATTTTCACCCCGCGAAACTCGGCAGGATTTCCCTCTTTACCCCGCCATTTCCCATTTCTCCAATCCAAATCCCCTCTGTAACATCAAGCCTCCTTGCATCTGTTGTTATTTTCCCTGGATAATCTCCGTGTCCGCCCTCGAACTGCATAATATGAATGCCTCCGGGCAGATATGCGCTCCTACTTTGGCTGGTAACATGCCTTTGACCCCCCCAATGCCACCAAGATGATCACCTCGTAACCTCTTAGCTGCCTTCACAGTGTGACATGTCGACAGCGCAAGGTTAAATGCGACGAAGCACGGCCAGTTTGCGGCCCCTGTGTCAAAGCCTCTCGGAACTGCGTCTTTTCCAGCAACTGCATCTTTCGCCACTCCAGCGTCAACGATCTTTACCGCGACGTAGGGAGCGGTTGGCTTCCGCAAGGCCCTCAGATATGGGTCCCAATTCCCTCACACCGTACAGTGTTTTCCGGTCTCACGGATGAGCGAACAGCACTGACCCTGCCCCACAGTCACCTTTGTTCAGGTCATAGACCCATTTGCCGACGAAGGATTGACATCTCCTTTGGATGAGCACCATCATGATCATGAAAACCACCTAGTAGTCGCCTCGCCTTCGACAATTGCTGCTGCTGAAGAGAGTTTTGTCCCGACTCCTGCTCGGAGCCCCGTGCCACCCGAACAGAATGGAATCTTGGCAGCTGTCTTGATCCAACACTTCCAGGCAGCTCCCGGTCAGTGGCTGGACAGCTTCGACTCCAATGCGTATTACTCGATCAAGGTGCCCATCATGGCGGCCACGCGGCCGATGTTGAGGGCGGCTGCCTGTGCCCTCGCCGCCAAACATTTGCACCGCCTCTGTCAAGGGGATTCCGTGCGGATATCGCAGCTCCCCCATCTGCGCAAAAGCCCGCTGCAGTGGATGATTCTGACAATCGACTGGAAGTACGAATCCGTGCGGCTCTACGACCAGGCCATCCACCACCTGAAAGAGGCCATTGCGCTGGAAATCCCCGATGATCGACGCGAGGAGATGTTCGCCGTGGTCGCCATCCTCTGCATGTACGAGCTGAGCGATGCCCCCAGCACCGAATGGCGGGCTCACCTCAGCGCCTTGCCCTACCTGTACTGTGGCAGCCCCGATGTCTTTGGCTCGACAGAGACGCTGCCTGACTCCCTGCTGCACATTTCGCGCTCCGTGTTTTGGAGTCTCTACCGGCAGGACTGTCTCTCCGCCTGTAGGTTTTCTTTCCTGCCATGTGCGATTCCGCATACATTTCTGTTCTGATGCCGTGGACGTAGTCATCAACGAGACCCAAACCCGTCTCGACCTCTCCGATCTCATCCTCTGGCGTAACTTCGGCCTCAGCATCTCCTCATACGGCCACCTCCTGCCCCCGTCGAACGCATCCACCACCCCGGTCATCCCCTCCGCCTCTCCTTCCCCTCATATCTCCTCCCCAGCTCCCTGGCTCGATGAGGCCACGCTCAGCAACGCCCTCATCTGGCTCACAGGCAAGATCATCAACTACATCACCAGCGGCGACGGCATCAACCCGGGCGACTACGAAAGCCCGCCGGACCAGCGGCCATCCTTCGGCACCACGCAGGAGGATCTGTTAAAACGATGGCAGCGACTCGACTTCGAGCTCCGCGCCTGGCACGACACCCTGCCTGCCTCCTTCACCCCTTGCGCGCGGACCCGCCTGTCTCTCTCCACGGATTCCCGGCCGATCGCGCGACGCCCCGCCCCCGAGCACCGAGACACCGATGCCTCCGACGACAACAACCCCATCGACGCAGTCGTCTTCACCGTCCCCATGTGCGCCGTCACCATCCAAACCTACCACATGGCGCGTATCCTGCTCTTGAGCAACATGCCGCAGGAGGCCACCGCCATCCGGTCGACGGTCACCGCCCGCCTGCACAACTACCGGCGCATCGCGGGCGAGGTGGTGCGCCACGCCCGCGAGGTCTGCGGCATCAGTCTGGCGGGGCTGCCGGATGCCGTGCTCCCGCACACGGTGCAGCCCCTGTTCGTGGCCGGCCAGTGCTTCGAGGGAGTGCCCGAGCGGCGGTTGGTGGTGGATCTGCTGCGCCGGGTCGAGTGCGAGACGACGTGGGCGACCGAGTATCGGGTGCAGGACTTGCGGCGGCAGTGGGCGGCTGGGGGAGCACTGGCATGATGCTTTTGTATGTAGTGGCGCTTTTTCTGGGTGGCGATGATATGGGTAGAGGTGTCTGTGGCTCAGTGTTAGGGCTGGCGAGTCTGCTGCGGATGACGGGTACAAGCAGCCCTAGAGCCCCTTAGAATTTCGCACATGTTGCGGTGCATTGCTCGTCCACAATCCTGTAGCGATATTCTTCTCTCGCATAGAATTACCTGCAGCAGTGAGAAATGTGCGCCTCGATGCGCTGGCAATAGCTTACAAATACCTATGACGTGAAGCTGCAATGCACTTTACTCATACTTGCGAGTACCTAGGTAGTGGGGAGCATACCCAGAAAACAAAGGTAATTCTGCCGAGCTGGATGACAACAAGGTCTAGACCCATTGGCTGGACTAATCTAATCAATCCACTATTCCCCACTGACTTCGTGTTCAAGCGATAAATGATAAACGATAAGAGCCGGACGCCGCAGAAAGAGGCGATCTTCCCGAGAGTGAAGGAATCGCTCCCGAGCTTCCAATTCCTTCGCCTATCGCGGTCTCGAAGTGTGATGATGTTGTGCGAACGTGTAGATCCCACCTTGAAAAAAATTCTTCAGGGTCACTTAAGCCTTCGAGGCTTTTAAACGGTCTCTTCAGACACGGTCTACTCGTGCAAAGAGATATCCCAGCACTATCTTCCAGAGCGAGAGGGACACCACACCGCAACCATGTCGCTGATTGTGCATCTATCGCGCTATGTCTGGGCTAGCATTTTATGCTCCTTTGGGGGATTCCTGTTCGGGTGGGTGCTGTCTTCAAGAGTTGCACACTTATATCCGAGAGAAACTGTCGCTGACCACTGGCTGGATGGTAGGATGGACACCGGCATCATCGGATCAGTAGTTGTGATGCAGCAATTCACGCAGAAATTCGGCTCCTTCTCGTCCATCGTTCACGGGCTCGTCGTCTCCGCGGTCTTAATCCCCGCTGCCTTCTCCTCGTTCTTCGGCGGCAAACTGGCCGATTGGGTGGGACGGCCCAAGGCCATCAGTCTGGGGGCGCTCATCTTCGGGGTCGGAGCGGCCATCGAAGCGGGCGCCGTGCATCTGGCCATGTTCATTGTCGGCCGTGTCGTGGAGGGACTCGGGGAGGGTCTGTATCTGGGGACGCTGGTTGTGTAAGCCGACCTCTTCACTTGCGACTCGCATAGTGGAAGAGTTGCTGATTGCGTCCACCTATCTCCACAGATACATCTGCGAGATCTCGCCTCCGAAGCAACGAGGCCCGCTCACCACTGGCCCGCAACTCTTCGTCACCGTCGGCCTTGTGGTCGGCTTCTTCACCTGCTATGGCTGCGAGCGCCTGCACTCGTCCATGGCGTGGCGCACCCCATTCACCCTGCTGGCTGGCGTCTCCGTCCTCTTCGGTCTCGCGGCGTTCCTGTGGCTGCCCGAGTCCCCGCGGTGGCTCACCCTCCACAACCGCTCCGACGAGGCCACGCGCGCCTGGGAGTATCTCCAAGTCAGCCCGGCGGATCGGGAGGAGCTAAGCGAGGAAGACGACTACGACGCCCATGAAGAGGCCGTCACTCACCCACTGGCGCCGACGGGCAGCACCCTGGCCCCGAACACCCTCGAACAAGTCCTCTCGCAGCGCAGCGAGAGATCGATCCCAAAGAAGGGTGGCCACGAGACCAGCCTGTTCGACGCGTTCAAGCCGGACGTGCGCAATCGTACGTTTTTGGGTCTATTCCTGATGTCCATGCAGCAACTCGCCGGGATTGACGGGGTTCTCTACGTATGACCTCCCCTTCCCTCTCCGCCCAACCACCCTCATCACGCATACTAATTCAAGGGAAATAGTACGCCCCGCTTCTCTTCGAGCAAGCAGGCATGACCTCCGACCAAGCCAGCTTCCTCGCCTCGGGCGTGTCGGGGATCGTCATCTTCGCCGTGACGGTGCCCGCGCTCATCTACGCCGACAGCTGGGGCCGGCGCCACAACGTCATCCTGGGCGGCCTGGGGCTGGCGGCCACCATGCTGGTGATCGGCGCGCTGTACGCCGCCGACACCGTCCACGAGTCCACGGGCGCCGGCCGCTGGGTCGTCATCGTCGCCATCTACCTGTTCGCCGCCATCTACAGCGTCTCCTGGGCCGTCAGCTGCAAGATCTACGCCGCCGAGATCCAGCCCCAGCGCACCCGCGCCTCCGCCACCTGTCTCGCCCACGGCGCCAACTGGATCTCGAACTTCTTTGTCGCCTTGATCACCCCAGTGTTGCTGGCGAAGAGTAGCTGCGCCGCGTATTTCTTGTTCGGCGGGTGTACGCTCGTCACCGCGGCGGTGTGTTGGGTGTGGATGCCGGAGACGAAGGGGAAGTCGTTGGAGGAGGTGGAGCGGTCGTTTGTTAGGGGGAAGAGGGGTTGATTGTGGATCCTTTTGAATGAGACTGTTTGAAATGTGATGCTGGTTGTCGTACTGTTTTGGTCCTCATCTTATCAAACTATACAAAGAACCCAGTCGTCAACAGCGGGCATGGTACATAGCATCCGAAAAAGAATTAGGGACCATCAGCTACAAGCCTCAGGTGTACAGACGAATTCATGAAAAATGAGCACATTTATCACGACAAGCTGATTTCTATATCTGCATAAACATTTTCAGTGATCACTCCCCTCTTGTCAGTTGTTTAAAGACAGGCATATTTTGTCATGTTAACTCCTCCCTCGTTATCGGTAGCATTCCGACGGAAATTCTCCGCCCGCGTTACCTCCATTTCGCATCAGTCAAACAAGGGTCTTGGAGCATTGACCGCCGCAAGCGCTGGTTCGGGATCTCTCCGAGGTGGAACGATGTGGAGCGTTGTGGATATGTCGATCGGAACAGTCTGGGCAATGCCGGAATTGAAAGAATGGGTGCAGACTTGGGGTTGGTTGGCAACCGGTATAACATCGCGAGCACACTGTTTTCTGTTCCTTACATTATCTTCGGCGAGTCGGAACTCTCATCAGCCCGACTATGGACTTGGTCTTTGTTCGCTAACAATGTTCGCAATGACTTCCAGAAATTCTTTCGAACATTTGGTTCCGAGCAATTAGTCTCAGGCAGATTTTGACCAAGCGAATCTACCCCAATACACATAAGGAAGAATTGTGGATAGCAAAGAGAGGTTTGTATCGGACCTGTCAAGCGCAAGGTTGATAGGTGTTAAGGTATTCGACGTGATCACATCGAATGACAACCAGACGTGTAGTCATTGCCCTGTTTTTTCTTTTCTTTTCTTTCCTTTTCTTTACTTTTCTTTTTTTTTTTCATTTTGATCTAGTCAACTGAAACTCCAGTTCTCTTTTCATGATACGTCGACTAGTCATCAAGATGAGCCCATCTCTGGTCATCATGATGTCTTTCAGCTTCCATGCCTCTAAGTCTACTGTACAGCCCCAACCTTGCTAACCTTCACATCCACCCGAAAATCCTGCCACACATGACAGCAATGCGCATCGCGATCCCAGTCAAATTTCGAACCAGCGAGCTGGAAATCATAGCTCAGCAGCAGCTTTGCGATAGTCAGACGCAGCACCCGCAGTCCCATGATCTTTCCCGGGCACGCATGGGTGCCCACCGAGAATGCCGAGAATGCAGCCAAATCCGACTCGGGGGTGGGGGCAAGCCACCGCTCGGGGTCCCATCGTTCGGGGTCCTTGAAGTACCTTGCAGATCGGTGGATCGAATACTTGTCAACGAAGACTTTGGCCTACGTATAACATCAGTATCAATCTTAGTCAGCTGTAATTCTGATGCTAGACTCACCCCCTTGGGCACATAGACGCCATCTACCTCTATGCCGGTGGAGATTCTGGCGCCCACGTCGTTCACTGGTGGCTGTAGTCGAAGGCTTTCTTGGATGCAGGCATTCAGGTAAGCGATCTGAGACAATATTTCATCTGTACAAGCTTCTTCACGGGAAATAGCAGTGCGGAGCTCGTGCTTCAGCGTTGCGAGCGCCTTGCGATGTTGCAGTAGGTAGTAGAAGACGGCGGATGCGGCGGCTGAAACGGGGTCATATCCACCGATTCTGTTCACACACTGTTAGCTCTATAGCATGAAGATGCCTGAATGGCATACTGGGGATGCCCTCACACAAGAAGACTGATATGTGCCATGGCGCGCTTCAACTCGGGCTTTCCGTCGGCCCCGTCCACGATCCCCAGCTTTTGCGCGACAATGCTCTGTCGAAACTCTTTTCGGTCTGTGAGTCTACGGGACAATTAGACACGCCGCATTCCCAGCAGACAATCTCGTGGGGAGGAACCTACTCCTGGATCCGACTGAAAGTGTTCACCTGCACCCAGTCCGTCGTCATAAGATTCCGAATCATCCTCAGCAGAACCGCTGCGACGGCCGATGCCCCTGGCACGCGACCGATGTAAAACATCAAGTCCAAACCAGCGGTGTATACGTTATCCCACCGCCGAAAGTAGTCAAATGTCTCTTTCGTGCTAATGGGAATGGAATGACCGAGGAAGAAATGCCCCATGCACTGCCAGATCAGCCGGTCCATCCCAGCCGTCAGATTGTATTGCTTCCCTCCGCGGGCTGCGGTGTTTAGCTCTTCCTCCAATTCCGCCAGGTAAGTCCGGTGAATCGTCTCCTGGCTTTGGGTGGGATAAGTTGCCAGAATCCCCTGGACCTGCGACCGCACACTCCGATGGTCTGTTCGGGTGGTGGCCGACTGCGCCGTGGTGTCTCCGATCACGACATCGATCGCAAAACTGACGTTGTTCTGCGTTGGAGTGAAGCCTTTGGTGTACTCGTCCTTGTAAATTGCGTCTCGCGCTCGAGGGCTTGCGAAGGACAGTTCGTTTGGGGATATTCGAACGACCGGGCCTGTGTGGAGTCAGGTAAATGGTTCTCAGAAATAGGTAATGGGTAGCGTACCATATTTTTCATGCAAGTCTCGTAGCTTGGGAAGAAGTTTCCCTGAGTACCGGGCGTGCATTGCCCATAGCTTCGGTTAAAGTTAGACTGGTGATTGAAAGATGGTAGAGAAGCTGCGAACCGGAGACGCTGCTGCAATAGCTGGGCCTGGAAATTTGGCCAGAGGGTGGAAGTATCGATCGTAAATCACGGTGGCGGCGAAGATCGCCCCAACAACCTGGATCCTGTCAGACTGTGTCCATCAGAAGAGGTAAATTGTACATACTAACCAGGAGAACCAACATCATGTTATTTGTTTGTCGACCACCGTCGCTAGGTGGGCTGACGGCTGGCTTCAATCAACTAATATGACGAGCTCGAATCTGAGGTGAAAGAAATCAGGTTTCGCGGGGGCGAGGTGGCTGTGACGAGACTTATGATACATTGAGTAGTTCGTGTGGGGTCCTGCAGGCATTCTAATCACATTGAGCCTAGTAATTGTGACCAGGTCGCCGAGTGTCGATCATGAGGCGATTGGGCCAGCCGGGTAGGGCTTATCATATTCGGATCACCTCATCAGCCTCGCAAATACGATATCAGCCGCACTATTTTCTTTCGGTCTACAGTAGTCTTGTTTTTCACCCCAATCGTCAGTTATGTCGGGCTCCACTCTGGCTTGGACTTTGTCACGATCGAATTTCAATCCACTTGAAATGGTGGTGAGGATTCCAAATCTCGGGCTACCTCAAAGCCCATTGATCCTTCGCTGGCTCCGCATGGGGCAATCACCGATGTGATGACAATATCAGAATCTATCCGAGTCCATACATGCAGGTAGCTTGGATCAGTGCCGATCGTGAACAGGTCCAGTTGTCATTCAAGTGCGTGTGACCGAATGAGTCCTCCACGCACGAGGGGGGATAAATTCCGGTGTATATCTGCCTGGTTGACAATCCCATTCACCGAAAGTTTTCTCCATACTTGCTGATTGCCACTCTAACCTTGAACAGCAACTATGCACACACAGGTCCTTACGGCAAAGCCAGGCTCACCAGGTTTAAGCCCTGAGCCTACGGTTTGCGCCGCACGCGATGCTCTTGATAAAGCAACCCAGTACTCGATGGAGCAAATGAGAGAAGACAACCATTGGTGTGGTGAGTTACGGTCCAATGCAACTATCACGGCCGAATATGTCTTTCTGCGACTGTCTCTTGGTCTGGACCTCACCCAAGAGGCAAAGCCCCTCATTCGATGGCTTCTCTCGCAGCAGAATCCAGACGGCTCCTGGGGGATTGCGCCCCACTATCCCGGTGACATCTCGACCTCGACCGAGGCGTACTTCGCTCTCAAAATCCTCCAGTTCTCCCCCGAGCACCCGGCGATGCGCAAGGCCTGTGAGTATATCCGGAGTGTCGGGGGCGTGGCCAAAGTCCGCATCTTCACTCGGTTCTATTTGGCGATGTTCGGGCTGTTCCCCTGGGACGCAGTGCCCGAACTGCCGGCGGAGCTCATCTTCATGCCCGCCTGGGCCCCGATCAACATCTACAAGTTCGCCTCGTGGGCACGCAGCACGATCGTGCCCCTGCTGATTGTGTCCCACCATCGTCCGATCTATCCTCTTCCTCCGGGGAGTGCAGCGGACGGTACATATTTGGATGAGCTGTGGCTCGACCCTGGAAATAAATCGGTGCCATACCAGCGGCCTGCGAGTAGCACTGGACTGAACTTGCTGGTGACTTTGTTCTTGGTTATCGACCACGTGCTGCACTTCCTCAACGGACTTCGATTCTTCCTCACTAGAGCTTACAGTCGTCGCAGCTGTATCTCCTGGATCCTTGACCATCAAGAAGACTCCGGAGACTGGGCTGGCATCTTCCCGCCTATGCATCTCGGCCTGCTGGCCCTCACCCTGGAGGGCCTTCAGCTCACCGATGCACCCGTTGTCAAAGCACTGGAATCTGTCGAGAGGTTTGCATGGGAGGACCAGCAAGGCCGGCGCATGCAAGCCTGCGTCTCCCCAACCTGGGACACAATTCTCATGTCCATCGCCCTATGTGATGCCTCCCACCCCAAGGACAGTCAAAGACTACACCGCGCCATCAAGTGGATTCAGAATCGCCAGCTCACGCAGCCCTACGGCGATTGGCAGGTCTACAGCCCCAAGACCATCCCGGGAGGCTTCAGCTTCGAGTATTTCAACACCTGGTACCCGGATGTCGACGACACTGCGGCCGCGATCATTGCCTTCCTCAAGCACGGAACCGACCTCACGCACCACAATGTCATCCGAGCGGTGCTCTGGATCCTGGGCATGCAGAACAAAGACGGCGGCTGGGGCGCGTTCGACATCAACAACGATGCGCTCTTCCTGAACAAGATCCCATTCAGTGATATGGACAGTCTGTGCGATCCGTCGTCGGCAGATGTCACGGGACGGGTGCTGGAAGCGTTTGGTCTCTTGTTTCGGAGCCCAGTTGCAGACTACGCGGGCTCAGACTTGCTGTCACAGATGCGCACTGCATCCGACCGTGCCATCGAGTATCTCGCGCAAACTCAGGAGGCGGATGGATCGTGGTACGGCCGTTGGGGATGCAACTACATCTACGGCACGTGTAATGTCCTCTGTGGTCTAAAGTACTTCACCAAACATAGCAGCCGCATCCCCGCCTTAACATCGCGAGCCGTGCAATGGATCCTGTCGATTCAAAATCCAGACGGGGGCTGGGGCGAAAGCCTACAGACCTATCGGTCCGGCAGTCGGGTCGGACTCGATCATTCTTCCACGGCGTCACAGACGGGGTGGGCCGTCATGGCTTTGCTGCCTTATCTGGCTCCGAGTGCCCCCGCTATCGAACGAGGTGTTGGCTATCTCATTCAAACGCAGTCAAAGCAGGAAGGCAGTGGGAAAGGAGCAACGTGGGAGGAGAGCCGGTATACTGGGACGGGATTTCCGAACTTTTTCTATCTTGGATACGCACTGTATGCACATTACTTTCCGATGATGGCGCTGGGGAGGTATGTACAGTTGGCAGGAACTCGAACTGTTGGAGTCTTGTCGGAAAAGAAGATCTTCTGATAGACGCCGCTATGATGACATGATGATTTGTTCTGCTGCGGCCTCGGGAGGCAGTTTCGGAAGATTGCCGAAGAATGATGATGTGTAGAATGCGATCCCATGCTGTGATGTCAATGGGCTAAGATACATACGCCATAATATCGTGGGTTGCAGGGACACCCACCCAATTACTTCTTCATTTTTATCTCCATCGACGGTGCCACGAAATATCAAATCATTCACTATCTTACCCGCAGTGCTCGGAGTCATCTCACGCACGTATTTATTTCTCCTCGAACCCCACGATGGAGCTCCTCCCTACGGAGATCATGGATCAGGTAAGCTTGGTAACCCTCGAGTCCTGGGGTTGAGCTGAATCATTGCGTCTAGATCCTCTCCTTCGTGGTGGAGCTCTTCTCGCCGAAGCCTTCTTACCGCATGCCTTGCCTGAGTGAAGGCAAACCAAAACACATTCTCACAACTAGTGCAGCCAAGTGTCAACTGGCCGCATTGCGTCTCACCGGTCGAGTTTTCTATCGCAGTGCCTCAGTCTTACTCTTCCAGGCCCTTACCGTGGGAGGTCATAGTCCAGATTCTCTGGAGCGCCTCGAACGTCTATCACACAGCCCCCAGGCCGCTTGTGTTCGGCACCTCAGTTTCGCATTTTATCACCCGGAGCTCTATACGCAATCCAAACCTGCGAACCTTGCCGACGACATTCGATATCTCCAACAGCTACAACTGGGCTTCAACGATTGTCTTTCCCGGTTTCCGGGTCTACGAGAGATCGTGTTCTCCCAGCCCTGTTGCGAACCTGCGCCATGTGATAGAGACCGATATCTTGACATCGTCGCCAGGACTTTGCGCGACGTCGAGCTCCCCAGTTTGTCCGAGGTTCACCTCCACCTCGAGCACGCGCACTCCTTGCGGCATATCCTCGACGCCATCTCCTCCTCATCACAGCCCCGTACCAACGACAATCTGCCGCGTCTCCGACACCTCGTGTTGTATACGCCCGGCCTCAACTACGACACCATAGCGCAAGGATCGCCTAGTCCTGAGGCTGCTACTGCTGCTGCAACCCAGTCCCATGCAGCTCGGGTGCTCCGCCTGTTGGGGCTCGCCCCTAATCTCGAGACACTGACTCTCACAACGTGGGTTATGGGCCTTGACACAGCGGTCCTTCCATCGCTGCGCCTCCGCGCTCTTTGTCTGCTTGGCGTCGAAATTCCCTCGAAATGCCTGCTTCGCTTCCTGGAGGCTCTTCATAATACACTCCGATCCATTTCCTTCACCCACGTCTGCCTGCGCTCGGGAACCTGGGCCACGGTCCTAACCGGTATGTGCTCTCTCCCGCACCTGCTTCAATTAAACCTTGAGTGCAACGGGTATTCGTCGAGCCGGGCGGGCTTTTCTCTGTTCCATCACATGAACGGGCTGGTCACCACGTCGCCTTACGACCTGCCTGCACTCGGAGCGCTCTATCGTCACATCAGCCGCAACAGAATCGCTGCGGGACGGCAGCCGCTGATGGCCACGCCGACGGAGCATAATTTTAGTATTCATCAAGAGTTGTTGACGTGTGTCAAGCGGGTCTCCTGAGTAGGAACAGCTTGGCGTATCTTCGAGTCATCAAGCCCTTCTTTGCCCTGTCTGTGGTAGTTTGTGTTAGTTATGTGAAAAAAATGAGTCAACTAAAGCCTATGACGTACTATACCACTCCGCGTAGCAATACTCTATCCCGATCGTTTTAAGGATCTTGCGAGGGAATGATGTCATGTATAGGAGATATTGCGATGGTTGTTCTAGGCTTCATAACTTCCTTTTTGGGCTTTGCTTGCCAGCTCCCGCGAGGGAATATGTGCCTCCATCAACAAGTCCTGCTAGATGACCTGGAATCCACCAGAATCCACCATTATTTCTGCTCCCCTTGTATCAGACTCTGAGACTGCGTTCCGTTTAACCTGTGGTATCGTATAAAGTGTTGTTTGAAATATTGTGCTATGCCTTCTTCAAATGCTTGGTCCAGCGGTCAGCATGTCATATCATCCGAATGAAGACGGTCTTATCATTTCTGCATTTGACGAGAGGCGAGAGGCCAACATCTTGGCCAGGTGATGCCGGTCTCATCAAGCTTGCCAACCACGATATTGTTCATAAGACTGGGCTCGTCTTGATAGGACGGGAGCATGCTCCAATCAAGGACCTCGCTGTTGCTGCTCACTTTGATCCTCCCCTATCGGCTGGCAT